CCTAGGGATTGGTGGAGACCAAAAACAGAGCTAAATACTGGACTCACCAGGTGGTCAGAAACACATTTTTCTCACCAATGATTACATACATTTTTCTGTTCTATCTTCTGTGTCTGACCCACATGCTGTGCATGTCTTTATGTTTTTGCTTTTTAACCCACCTGTGAGATAAAGAAACCATAAGAGGGCTGTATGAGTGATAGAATGTGAGACATTCAACTTTTGGTGCTTTGCCAGACATAGTATATGCTTATGTAACATTTCTATGTGTGGAAGTGAAATCTCCAAATGTTAAAGTAAAACTGTGCACATCGTGCCTGCTTGTTAAATCCAGTGTGACAATGGCTTACCTTGTCAATTAGCTGCATGATGCCAGTGAAGGGCCTCTAAACTATAGCTTGACTGCAGCACTCAGAAGGAAATCAGTTCGCTGTACACAGGTCTTGTGTATTTTGTTATACCCCTCGTGGTTTCTTTCATAACCACTGGCTGAACAAGTGTGATGCTGAAGGACAACTAATTAAAAACTTCCATGTGCAAAGCTTTATGTTGTACTATCCATTTAAGGGTTGTTGGCATTGCTTATGGTTGACGCAGGCTGACATGCTAAACAGTGGATCTCTCCATAATGCTAATGTGATAAATGACATACAGAGAGAGTGTGATAAAGACTTAAGATGTTTATCAAATCATTAATTTCTATATATACAAGTTAAATTTTAAGAGCAACTTCTTTTCTTTTCATTCATATTTTTATCACCATTACTTTTCAATTCATGATCTTGCAGATTAATCCTAATATCACCAACTGTTTATCACCCCTTATATTTGAACTCCACCCTTCTCCATGTAGGGAAATAAGTAAAGATGTATTTTTTGACCTCAAAGACGTGTTTTCAAGTATTTGATGTGTTACACAAATAAATGTATCATTAAAACACAGATTCAGAATTTAACGGGTGCGCTTATAAAGTGTTTGTGTCACCAGGAACTTTCTAAGCGAGGCATTCAAAAGCCGTTTTTGTCTCTGACCCTAATTGCTGCTGCAAGCCAAGTTTTTGTCACATTTTAATGCACTTAATCTTTGCTCAGTGTCAGCACCAGCTCCTGAGGCCCATCCACAAAGACCTAATTGCACAACAAGCACATTACGAATCACTGGAAACAACAGTGTCTGTATACAGAAGACCCAAGGCTCTTTAAGGCACGCACAGTAAGTACAGCCACCTCCGTCCTGGGTGAAATAGCCCCATGGATCTTCATAAAGAGGCCACGGCTTCCTGCACCACAGCAGCTGACATCCATCTGAGTCTCCCAGGCTCCCCCAGAAGATGTGTGTGTGTGTGTGTGTATGTGTGTGTGCTTTGGGGGGTGGCAGGGATAAGGAAAGAACAAAAAGACTGGTGAGAATGTGTCATATCCAGTGGCCATCAGCGTTTGATGTGGGTGTTCACTGTATTTATCACCTTCACCTCAGCATGGAGATGAGATGGCGGTGGGAGACAGAGGGGACGGGAGGACAGGCAAAAGGTTGCATGCAGCCTCAGACGGGGAGGACAGGAAAGGGAGGATTTGAATGCAGACAGAAGGAGATTTTTGCAGTAAAATGCGATGGAGAAATTTTGATTTTCTAGATATTTTGTCCTCTTAGTTCCCAGTTTTCCCCCATTTTATATGAAATTTCAATATCAGCTTGTTTATAACATTTATCAAAAAGTCTTAAATACATGCCTGTCTTTAATGGATGCTAATGGCTGCCACTAAATGACAGCTCTCTCAGTTGCCATATGTTATAGCCATCAAATATACATTTGTAATGTATCATATCTACCGGGACATTTTCACACATCTCTCCATACTCTGCAATACAAAGTGACATCAGAGATCCCCACAGGCTATAGGATTTAAATCACAAAACAGGCAGTAACATGAGTTTTCAACAGGGGTGTCAGGACTGCAATGTCAGATCCTTTGTCACTTTGACTTTTTTTTTCTTTTCACAGGTCCCTCTTGTTAGCATGGTGCTAACAAGGTAGCACAGGTTTTATGCACAAATCATGGGCTAGTCTACTCTCTGCAAATATGACTTTTTTTTCTCCTTTTATTCTCACCGTATTAAAACCCACAATGAAAAAAAGTATTGAAGTGGTAACCCTGTGTCAGAAACTGAGCTTGCACATCTGATGAAGGTGACTGACAATAAAGCCTTGCTACTACATCTAAAAAGGAAATATTTTGAGTTCTGAATGTTCTAATTGGCATCAAGAAATATATATACATCCCTTTTATTGGCCAAAATACCATTCACTAACAAAAAAGTGCATAAATGTTATCCTTCAGTGTGAAGTTGAAGTTGAACTTATTTTGGGGGTCAATTATAGAAATGAAAAAAGAACAATTTGTGAATTTGGAAGGTAGTTTTGCATAAAAAACTAGAGTAATCTCCAATCCACTATAGAGTATTAAGGAAATCCATTGTATTAGAAAAAGTCTAAACAGGCATTGTACATCTTGCAATCGTTTGGGCAAACATGGCTTGCTTTTCACAGTGAAATTAGCCATAGAAATCTGTGACCTTTTGCCATCCTCTGAAGACCTAAAGCAGAGAGATGTTAACAGTTTAACAGTAACAGCTCAGTAGCCTGTAGTTATGTAACTCGGACAAGACATACTGAAAACATGTTGTTTGTCAAAGTATTTGACCTATGCCTCAAAGCTGCAGACATACCATATGACTGTTTCTTATTGAAAAGGTTCAATGGGCTAAGTGCATTATGAAGAGCATTACTGTGACGGAGTATAGGGGGTTATTAGCGCTCAGTGCCTGGGGGCAAAGAGAGGGTTACTGAGGATGAGGTCAGGATCCTCCCTGCCTGCCAGTTGTCATCCTAACCTTGGGCTGTATGGCGTAAAAAACACTTTCTTCTATCAATCGGACAGTGAGTTACAGTAGATACTTGGACACAAAAACACTGTTGTCTCGGGCCTCCACTCCCATCAGTCACATGCACATCAGGACATTACTGTCACATGGTAGACTTACAGCATAATTACTTTAACTCCAACAACAGAAGGTTTATGTGAGAACATCTTCATGGGAATTCACAGTTCAAAGTAACTCTTTTGGGGAGCTTATTCATGTATAACAATTACAAAGAGATCAGTTGGGGCTTGAGAAAAGATTATGAAGGCAGATGGCTCCCTCTGCTGTTGACAGCTGATAAGATATAAATATACTTATATACAGACACTTCATATACATTGTAAAAATGATGAGTGCAAGAGTGCAATGACTCCAAACACATTAAGAAAGAATAAAACATTTTAGAATATAACATTTTTGGGGTGGTTAATTACTGACTAATCAGTGCTTAATTATTCCTGTAAAACCCTACACACTGATGGTTCTCTCACACAGGTGCTTTCACTTATTTTACTTATAATGCTTATAACCTCTTCTCAGGACTGTGTGGGTGTGTGCAGACTGATACTCTCTCCTGTTAGTTTTGTTAGGTTTTCACAGAGGACATTTTGTCAGAGTAGCAACAGCACAGGTGAAAATAATAAAATTTAAAATGGCTGCATTCTATTTTGCTGCTTCAGCTTCAGGGTCCTGGTATTGTACAAGCTGGCTCACTGCCACACTGTCATGGTTTACTTGGACACTTTAATATAACAGAACCGTTGTAAATGCTGTTAGTAATGCCTATGCTTTTCCTGCTATGAAATGTGAAAGAATAGCTCCCTGAGACTCTAATCTAATACAGTTGTTCCAAACCTTTTCTTTAAGGGACCCCTTTTCTATCACTGCATAAACTGACAACCCCTGACTAAGTGAGTATTTTATTAATAGTTCATATTAAATTTAATACACAACAATAACAGAACAGAACAACTGATAAACTGTGCAATTAAAAGAGCACAAATGAACAGATTAGCAGATTATTTCCTCATCAGAGATTAGCATTTATTGTTTACTGCATTTTTAGCAACTTTTATTACAATTCTCTGTCTATATATTATACATATTATTATGTTTTTTTTATTATTTCTAACAATCATACTTAATAGGCTTCTCTTCTCTGATTCAGTATTTGCATCTCCCTGACACGCTTGTTCTATCAGGTCTTTGGTTGTTTTAACTGTGTAGTTGTATTATGCTGAACAAGGCTGTTCAGAGAGTGAAGGCTCTGTGGATATAGGTTGTGTTCAGGTTTTCACTGTGCCCCTCATCCTGGGAGATTTAAAAAAGTAATATTCTGAACTTTAATAATAATTTAATTTCTTCACAAAAAGAATGAAATACTGAGATAGGCCTACTGTATTTTTATTCTTTAAAGTTTCTTTTTCACCCCTAAAATCAAGAAGGCCTCAGGAACCCCCGGTGAAGCTACAGCGACCCCCACGTTGGGAACCAGTTAGCTAGTCAACAGACTAGAATAGTGAATAATAGAATATATTCACTTTATACTGTATATATTCACAATAGTAGAATAATAACATCCACAACTCTTCTGGAAAGGCTTTTCACAAGATTTTGGCACCATGGGATTATTGTTTGAACAGGAATGGTTATTTCCAAATGCTGGAAGTATCATCTTGACTGTCATTGTAGTTGAGTAGCCCAAACCATGAAAAACAGACCCAGACCAAAAGAACACAAAAGTAAGAGTACACTTAGGTCCTTCCTATTATAAATGCCTTCTGGTTTATATTCATAGATTAAGCTGTAATTGTTGTATATATGTAAGTTTGTACCTGATTCCTAGCTTTTTTCTCTAATTGCATTTAATATAAAGAGAGACATTTTGTTTTAGAACAAATTCTATTTAATTGACTTATTTGACAACAATCTACCAAAGACTGGGGGTAATTTGGAGGAATTACTGACTGATTTTGGTGCTGTCTACTACTATTAATTCTCCTTAATAATTACATAATTTCCATCCAACCTGAGAGATTAATTGTTTTTTAATGTGACTCTGTATGCTGGATACTTTGACCTTTCAGGACAAAACAAATAAATTTACACATGAATTAATGAAAGCATTTTTCTGAAGTAAAAGATCATTTAATACAATTTTCTCTTTGTGCTTTTCACATTGTATATGATTAAATGTACATAAATATGATACAATACAATTATAGATTCTACTAAAAAAGCAGTTTTAGATAAAGGCAACATAATCATATGTTGTTTTTATTATTTTAGATGATCTGTTGTTTCTTATTTAACATAATAAATTGTATTTGCAATCCTTAAAACAGGAACAAATGAGCAGAGTGGCAAAGTGGAGCAAAAAACTATATATTTATGTATTTTTCTACACCATTTCACTACTGTATGCTACTATATTGGATTTACATCTCGCAAATCCAATTAACCCCTCTGTGCTTTCTGTTTCAGGCACCTTTAGGAGCAACTAGTTGCTCAAAGTGCCACTGTTGTCTGGGGTGATGGGTGCAGGGGTGCAGGAAGAGACTTCCTGTGTTGGTGTTGACTGCTGTTGGGCTGCTTTGTGGGGGCCCTCCTTCCTTTACGGCCTCCAGACACAACTGGGACTGTTGGTGAACGAGCTGACCACTCAGCTGAAGCAGAAACACACTGAGTTAGTGACCACATACATCTATTCATATATATGACAGAACAAGTTTAATTCTCTGCCTTGCCTTTATGAACTTCCACTGGAGTCCGCTAGTCGTTGGTCGGTGTGTGGGGCACGGAGATAGGACCACCCTCTCTCCCCTGGCGTCCAAACACAAAGCCCCCATGGGACCCCAGCGCACTTCAAACTCAGAGTTTAGATCGCAGTGCTGCAGTGACAAGAGAGATCATCTTTGCCACTGTATGTCACCTGTCTTTCTTCAACTTTCACAACTGTTGTCATGGTTACCTGGCTGCCCGTCCCACTGCACGGTGCTATGTTCATGGCCCCACCCTGCAGTCCTTGCCCTCGGGGGTAGTCAGCGCAGCTGCCAGTGCCGACATTGTACAGCTTCAAACAGGCACAAATGGGACACATCAGTCTGTCATGTATTTTATGTAAAGTATTTACTCACTCTGCCAGTGAGTAGTAGAAATACTGTGTGTGTGTGTGTGTGTGTGTGTGTGTGTGTGTGTGTGTGTGTGTGTGTGTGTGTGTGTGTGTGTGTGTGTGTGTGTGTGTGTGTGAGAGAGAGAGAGAGAGAGAGAGAGAGAGACAGAGAGAGAGAGAAATACCTCGCCTGACAGTGCAGGTCTGTCCTGGGGGATGTAAAGTTGTGGATAAACTGTTGTCAGATACCAGTGGAAGTTCCTACAGCCCAGACTCCTCTTCAGCCGCAGGCGCTCTGTAATATTAGGGCTCTCAGACTGCACAAAATAAAGAACAATTGTGTCCTTAGATTTGGGATTTTGGGGGGGATTTTTTTGTACACTCACCAACCACCAATCTTCTGACTAAACCCCAAACCAAACATACACACCTGCCTGATGAAATGAGCAAGTGTGTCTCTCCTATAGAAGATCTTCCTGTATGCGTCCATCCAGGTGTCTGCTATCCGGATTTTGTTCCTCTGAAGCAGCTCTTGGTCTGGGAAGCGGTAAGGCAGGTGGTGGCGCTCTAGGTGGGCCACACGGGAGCAGGGAACCACCTCCATGGAGCCGCCGCATGACCACACCTAGGATAAGCGGAAACCTTTATTGAGTATTTTGATTCTGTTTTAAATAATATTATAGTGAAGTATTATACCACATTACTGTATTGCATGTTGGTTCACACATGAACTTTTGTTATACAAGTTGCAAATTGATTTTTAGTCCTACGAACTGCACCATTTGACATTTTAATCTTTCACAAAACATGCTACAAATCAATAATATGAATTTTAATGGTCATCATAGGAAAACAAGTGGTCAAGTAACATTTTCCTCTCATGCTTATGCATTTGTCTACTGGCCCAGACATTCCCAGACCACTATTCAACCTGAGATTTCCATTTGCAAAAGGCATCATTTCCCAGCGCAACATTCCTGAGGCCCTGACAGAAGGCAGCTGAATCCCTCAGGCAAAGCATCGCTTAAAAAAGCTTACATGTCTTAAGATGAAAACAAAGACAATCTGTCATCTCACTGTTCTGTGTGAGCAGGTGCATTATTGGAGGATTTTATTTTTGGATGGAAAGTTAATCATAAAAATGTTTTGCTTTACCCTGATTGACAGCTCAATTTGCTCCTGCCCCCACAGCAGCATCCCCGGGTCGTAGGCTCCCACACTCTGGAAAAAATGTCGGTCGATGGCCACAGCTCCACCTCCTAATGCTGGACTCCTGTCACAGACAGAATCAGCATCACTTTACTCGCCAAGAACAAACACAGGAATTTGTCCTTGTGTCACTGGAGCAGACAGACAAACTTCAGAGAATTACAGTCCTAGTTAGCAAGGACAAAATGATCACAGCACACAACCAAGAGCAATGGTTCCTTACTTTTTGTCATTGATCATTTAAAACAAATCAAAGCTAACTTGCGACTTGATTTTTACGTCTTTGGGTTGTAGGTAAGAGAAAATGTCTCAAAAAATAGACACATTTTATGTTGTTATATGGCTCTTGTTTTTTTTTTTAATCTTTTCTAACTTGTTAATCATCTTGAGTCTATCTTGCAACTCCTTGACCTCAAGAAAGGAACCACTGGCCTAGAGGAAGACACCAAACAATGTGCAGTTTTTCATTTACAGTTCATACATCTCTTTTATTTTCTGCACTTTTCAAAATGCAGACTATCCGCTCTGCACCTCAACATTACTTCAAGTAAAACTCAATTTTTTTTTAGCTATAAACTCATGAAAGCCCAACTTACAGCAGCTGTAAACTCACCGCAGAGGTTGAAAAGCCTTATCTTGCACCTGAGGGTTAGATTCCCAGTGGAAGTCAAGTCTCCAGTCAAACACTCCTCTAACTGGCCACTGGGTGGCATTGTACTGAAAGGTCTGCCAGTCTATCACATCCATGATGGGGGACACCACTCTGGTCCTGCAGAGAGACACCAGATTCATCATTTTATATTAAGATGCGTCTTTTTTTCATTGAATTTCAGTCAAACTTTCAAGTAGGGTGATTCAAGTGAGACTGATGTTATGAATGAGAAGTATGCTACTGTCAAAGATTTGGAAGAACACTGACATTTAAAATTATTAACCAGACTTCCTTGGCTACATTTTCACCCCATGCTGCTGGAAAAATGTATGTCTGTTCCTGAGTGTGTTTCAAGCTCATGTCACAGAGGCCAAGTTTAGAGACACGCACTGTCCTTTGTTGGGGTCTGTTCTGGTTCACATATGTTATTTGAAATATTTCTGCCAAGAGGCCAAGTGTGATGTGATGCTCAGGGGAAATGGAACGAAGAGATTAAAGTGGAGAGAAAGAGAGTAAGAAATAGGAGAAGGGTCAAACATGTGGCTGAGAAAGTTGAGTGGTTGCAGATTCCAGGTCTGGGAGTTCAGCCTAATTACCTAGTCTAATTAGAGCCACGCTGCAGGCAGCCTGAGACACAAGACTAGAGCCAGATCATGAGAGTTGAGCTTTGGATACACACACAGCGCATGTATCTCCTGCCTTACTAATGAGTGAGGACAACTGATAACTCTGAACCCCCTATCTTCTCACTTCTCTCAAGTGGTTCTGTCAAACAGCAGAACCCAATAGAGAAACAAGCAAACAGACAGTTTTGGGCACAGCTGCTGGTCTGGGTTTTCTTCCAGACTAAACATTCATATAGAACTGAATCCTTATTCATTACAAAACTCTGGCCACCTGACCTTATATATTTTTGGACTCAGCTAACAGAGTGTAGAGGAAGGGTGCAATGGAATAACAAGGATTTTGCACTGTTGTTCATTATTCTTGTAGATAATTAAATAGTACCTGTCCTGGGCCACTCTCTCCAGCAATGGTTCCAGCCAGCCCTTCTGGCATTCACAGTGAGAGTCCATGAACACCAGCACTTCCCCTGCAGCTCTGGCAGCACCCAGAGCTCGGCACCCTCCGACGCCCAGGCGCCTAGTGCTGCGAATCAAGCGCACCCCGTCCAGATGAGACATATACTCACTCAACACACTCTTCAGGTGACCTGTGAAGTAAACAGAGAGAGAGAGAGAGAGACTGTGGCCATGCACAGGTCTAGTGGAAAGATGGATGTCGACAGATAGAGAGACTCACCGTGCTGGCTCAGGTCGTCCACCAGCAGAACCTCCTGCAGGTACTGTCTTGGTGCAGTATCCAGCACGCTGTGCACGGTGCGCAAGAGCGTGGACCAGGCCTCGTCATGGAAACAGATTACAACACTGGCCGACGGCAGCGATTCGCTGTACTGCTCCTTCAAACACCTGTTATGTGGGGAAAGAAGTTCGCATTGTTAAAGTCACAACTTGAACGTCTTTAAATGCCACAGTGGGGTGTCAGTCGTGCGCACTCACTCAGGATGGCGCGCCTCGGGCAGCCTGCGATGCAGTGAAATCTTCTCACTGACCACCTCGTTGAAACCGTACTTCTGCACCGCAGAAAGCTCCATGTCCCTCTCTGTTCCCGCCAAGTGTAGACGCACTGCTTTGCCCATTTCCCCGTGCGTCGGAGGCGCAGTGACGCGGGTGTCCTTATTTGCTCCGGGCAGCAGCACCTTGTAACTCCCTTTCTTCTGCGGTGGGTTCTTGGTGCCCTGCGTCGATGGCACGAATAAAAGCTGGTCTTCTTGCAAAGATTTTAGGGGGGCGAGATCGATGCCGAGCTCCAACGCAGGGTCGCGGTAGTCCACGATGACCTCCAGGTCCGGTGCGCTGGGAATCCGCTGGAGGGGGCGTCGTGGAGGGCCAGGTTTCTGATGACTTTGGTCCCGGTCCCGGTTAAAAAGGTCCGAGAGAGCCAGAGTAAGCAGGGCGAACCCAAGGACCAGCAGCCAGAGGCAGAGCATCCTTGTCCGGACAGCTGTAGCTCTGCCCCACAGCCTCATGATGAAGAGTTGTTCGGCCGCTCAGAAGTTAGCCCAGCGGTGTCTTGACTTCCCCATATCTGAGCTTTGACTCAACTTTGAAGTCGCTTGCATTTCACCAAAGTGATAATGAGACTCTACGGGGATAATCCAAAAAGTCGAAAAAGTAAAATATATGGCCCATCAGTCTTCTGAAGTGTAGCGCTGCATCCATGGAGCACCAGACTTGGGATACGAGTGACACACAAGGCAGGTTCAAGACAAACCCACAACTTCTACACGGTGGAGGTGCGCAGACTTTGCACTTCATCCAGCTCATCCCGCGGTCCTAAAGCCCGAGTAAATCCGAGCTCACATATAACGGCTTGAAGATGCATGTCATACATCCACCTGCGCCTACACCTGTTCAGTGAGCTGAGTCTCAAAGCAATCTCAAGATGATAACAGGGATCAGAACACCTTTTTAGACAGACCCTTATGGGAAAAAGCAAACATCTCAGAGCAGAGTATTCAAACAGTCAGAGTACATTTTATTACGATGTTTTTCAATGTACTCACTAGAATATGTCTATTTAGGGATTCGGATGTCTGTGGGACATTTAATATCACATGATGCCAATATTCCTGTCATGACTCTGAAAAGTTATTGCAATCGTTTTTAATGATGGTAATATATCTGCGGTTTCCACCACAAACAACAGTACGTTATAAATAAGCTCACATTGCAGTGGAATGAGACAGTGTTTTTATATTTCCTCCAGTTTGAGTGTGTGAGTCGCCTGGTGCAGGCGTCTCCCCGGTGCGTCACACATCAAAGATGCTCTCTCCGGCCAGCTGGCGGCGGGCCCCGCCGTCCCATGACCGTCTGTCGGTGCCGGGAAGCTGGGCGGTCGCAGCTTTCGATCTCCCCAGTTCTCCGAGGAGATCTTGGCTGCCCCCACAGCTGTTTTCAACTGAATGGAGACAAAGACTTTCGTCAGTCCCAGTTTAAGGCTGTTGGTTTTTTCTTTCTTTTTAGAAGTGGAATATTACATAGTTTTGTTTTGTCATAAACTTGTTTTTCCTACTGTATCACACTGCAATCAATTTAGCACAGCCTGCATAGCAAGTGGCACCAAAATTAGATCATAAAAAATAAGGTCAAGGGAAAATGCCCGAAAGTCCTGTAAGGATTTAAATGGAAAATACCTAATCATTTCCTAATACATTTTTCCAAAGTGACCTCAGGACTACATTTCCTTTATGGTGATGGCCAACAGGAGGTCAGGCTGTACCCAATTTTTCTTCACCACATCACTAGAAATGAAGACCTTCTGCGTCAGCTGCTTCACTAGTTCTGTTCTGCGTGACTGGAGCTGTGAAAGGCCACTGCATGCAACTTGGCAGCACAGCCAGTGGAGCTCGGAAGCCTGTTTGCCTGCAGTCAGGAAACCAGTTACCCCGTCCTGGTGGTGGTGATGACTGCCTGGCTGCCCTTGTGTTTGAGTGAATTGGTGGGATTAGCAACCTTCCTCATCTTCCTCCCATTATACACAAAGACACTCACCTCCCCTCTGCCCAGGATGACAGGGCAGAATGGCTTCTGATGGTTATGATTACAGTATACAGAGGTGGGAGCGGAGTGGGGGCACACCTGGAGAGACAGATTGAGAAGTTGAAAGCGCAAAGGAGGACTTCAGAGGACAAGAGGAGCAACAAGATGAGGGTGCTGCAAAGAGGGTGGAAATGAAAGAGAGGGCAGATCAGAGAGAGAGAGAGAGAGAGAGAGAGAGAGAGAGAGAGAGAGAGAGTTAGAAGTGACTGGCTCCTGACTCCTGTGTTCTTGTGGGAATATGTTTATAAGCCTCCAGATTGAAAAGGAAAGACAGTCTTCATGTATTTCCAGTGCAGCACAGTGAACACTCCCATGTGTTTCCATCCTGCAGCCAAAACACACACTCTGAAATTGAGTTTCCACTGCCAGCACATTTGCAGACACGCACATAAACACCAAAAGAACATGGACACATACACACACACATATATGCACATCACACACACACACACACACACACACACACACACACACACACACACACACACACACACACACACACACACACTAAAGGTCCAGGTCCAGAGCCCAGTCCACATTCTCTGGAATGTTCCTGCATTCCACCATCCAACTAGAAGCCAGAGTTGTAAATGAGAAGGCACGACAAGTACTCACATGCGTCCTCCCCTCACACACAGAAACAAAGGGAGAGAGAGAGAGAGAGGAGAGAGAGAGAGAGAGAGAGAGAGAGAGAGAGAGAGAGAATAACAGTGACTTTTGGCTTCATGCAGACATTTCTGACTTGTTGTTCATTCATTTTTCTGTTTTTCAACCAAGGATGTCTGGAGTCTTTTTTTCTAGGCTGAAAGAAAAGAAGATTAATCTTTTAGCTGATTAATCTTGAAGTCAACTGACAAACAATGTTCTGACAGTTGATTCATTGTTCAATTCTTTTTTTGTTAAGTAAAGATGCCAATAATTAATAACTGGTTCCAGCTCCTCAGCTGTGAATATTTACAGGTTTTGTATGATCTTCTATGATTTGCACTATTTCTGAAATATTATAGACCAGAAGAAGAAAATTTGATGGAATGAATTGTGGAAATAATCAGCAGGTTATCAATAATGAAAATAAAAGTTAGTTGCAGTCATATATGTGTTTTAAAGTTGTACTAATTAAAGTAGGCCTATCTGATGATCTTGTTATGGTTTGTCAGTTTTATTTTGTTACCTTGAAAAAGTATTATTCAGTAATATGTAATTGAGCTTTGTCAAAAATGTAACATCATAATTAAAGCTGAGAGAGAGAGAGAGAGAGAGAGAGAGAGAGAGAGAGAGAGAGAGAGAGAGAGAGAGAGAGAGAGAGAGAGAGAGAGTGTTTATATCTCGGAAGGGCCCCAATAACTTATCCTGGTTCACAACATGAGAAGCAGCGGAGTGGTGCTGCCCTCTACTGGAGGAGGAGCAGCATTGACGTTCACTGACGCTTATTCTAAATATCATGTACTTTTCAATCAAACAACCAAACAAAAAAATTACCTTAAGACTGCCTCTGGAGCTTTCGGTCACATCTCGTGGACTTCATCAGTGGCTGGTGTTTGTGGCCCGGTTGTCATGGAGATGGAATGAATGAACTGGAAGAAGATGCTTCAAGCTCAACATTTGATATTTCACGTTCAAGTTTCCCAGTTATTACAATTCTACTAATAACATTGGGTCACATATGAAAACAATGTAGTAACTTGTGTGTTTTGCTCCAGTGTGACTGACTTTTTCAGCCCTATAATAAAACTCAAATGTCACTGAAATGCCAACAATAAAGCCTTGATCGCTGTTTGATAACTGCAATGTGATTGTACAGCTTAGCTTTTAAGAATTAGATTTCCCAACAGTTGGGCCGATTACACTTTATAGCTTTTTCTCTGTGAATATGAATATGGAGGATTTTTAGTTCTTTATTATTCTTTAAAACAAACAAAATAAATTGAATTTAATTTATTCTGCATTAGAATTGATTCTGTGAGCTACTGTATATTAAGTTGTTTCCTGTCTGAAAGTTTGTGTCTCTTTGGATTTAATATCTTAAATCAATAACTAGATAATTGCTTGCATCTATGTTAGCCTCGGCATTTAGTGAAATGTCAACTTAAATGAATTACTTAAATCAAATATCCTGATATGTTTTCAGAAATTTAAGTTTAAACAAGATTTCCGAGTTTTCTCTGTGCGTTGCAGGATTGATAAAAACTACTCCCCTTGACTTCTGAGAAGGAATTTAACTTTGGGAAAGATGACAGTTTGTACTGGGCGCCCTTTGCTGCACTTTCCAAACCCTCCTTGTGACAGCAGAAGAGCCACTAGTAAAACCCTGATGTCTATCACATGGACTGTGTTGAAAAACGAACAACGACTCTGGTGCACATCACACGCTTTCCTTCTGCTTTTGTGGGCGCAGCGGTGGCGCAACCTGCTCGGACCTCACATCTCACCATGACACAGCTGGATGAGACAAAGTAATGCAGTCATGTGCTGAGCGGTCACACGTGGGCATTGAAGGTTATTAGGCATTCAACGAAAAAACATAGCTCATAATCAAAATATATTGATTTATCCTTTTGGCACGCTGCCGACCCCTTTTATTAAACATCTGTCTCTATCCAGGATGAGATATTGATCCAACTGAGATGCGTTTCGTGTAAAATTGTTTGTAATTACAGATTTAAATGAAACAATATGCCTATATTTTTTTAGGACAAAGATGAGTGAGAAAATGTGTCGTCGACGTACTGCCCTACCAAGTACTGTTTATAAAATACATTATTTACAATCACATTGTCAGAATAAGAACAAAATTAATCAGTAAACATATAAACAGGTAAACACAAGAGGTGATCATACCGTTTATGTTATGTGGTACACATCGCAAGAACTCCTTCGAATTAAAAGCCTCATGAATTTCTGATCAGGGCAGAGGGGAAAGGGCGTGCGCACCTCATCTCTCATGAGTTTCCTGCGTCCAGAAGACTAATGAGGGATGAGATGCGTCTTGTTAGGAAACATCACATGTTTGTGCGCCCAGCGGCCCCCAGATTAAATTACTGAACATCAGGACAAGCAGGGGAAAGTACTGGACGAGCAGAGAGAGGGACAAGCTCTGTCGGCGAAGAAACAAACTATTTTGGGGAGGTGGATTGGCTATTTTGTTTGAAAATATATTGACCAGTATTTTTATTTTTTTTTGCTGCTCAATAGTGGAAATGGAAGCCTTGCCATACGTTTTCCTCCTGGTGTGTGCCTGCTTTGTTTATCAAGCTGATGGACGCAAAAGTAAGTGCTGCTGCTTTAAAGTTAGACAATCAGCTGATCTGACAGAAATGAATGATACAATATTTTAAACTGACCAGATCTGATGTAGAAATATTAACTATAGAGTAAATGTCCGACATAAAATTAAATATGCACATCGAAATAACAGGAATGATTTAATCTTATGGGTCTCGAATTAAAAACGGTTGTGGCGCACTAGTTTTTTAGTCTTAAATAGACTTCTGATACTCGGTATTTGTCTCACAGTTTCGGTAATACGCTACCTGTCCTGCTATCAGCTGTCTGCACTCATAGTCCCATGAGCTTAATTAAGGCGTGTGCCCTGGCTGACGGTCTCTGCTCAGATTGAAACTTATCCACACAAAGGAAAAATATTTTACATCCACAAAAGTAGAATAAATCTTAACGTTCAAACTTAAAAAACAATTTATTTAAGTCCATTTATGTCCAGCTGGGGGTCACAGAGAAGTCCAAAGCCTCAAACAATTCAAAAACATATTTTATTACAAGTTATCCAAATGAAAACAACAAAAATAACTAAAACTACATTCCGGTATTTATTTTAAAATGTCTATGTTTGTCATGAGTTGATTATCTGCACAGCTCTCTGCTTACACAAAGACAGATATCTGGATCCTTTAATCAAATCACATTGAAGGAATGTGTTGTTTTCGTTTGGCATCCATGTTTGACCATGAAATATGTGAGTCGCTAAAGTCCAAATTAAGACAGAAACCAGAAAGAAAGGCAATATAATTAACAATTAAAAGACAGTTGATATATATGGTCAGATAAATTCCCTCAAGATAATAATGCATGTGTAAGAATAGGGCCAGATACTGTATCAAAATGATTATCACCTCCCTCACAGAACAGATCTGCTTGGATTAAAAGTTTATTCCAAATTTTCTACACTTTTTTTCAGTGATTCAGTCAGAGGGAGCTTTTACTAAAAAGTCTGATTTAAAACTAACATCTGGAGATAACCTGATCTCATCATTATTATTAATGAATAAGATCCTCAGAAGAATTTCCACAGCATTGTAAATTTCTCTATTTAAGGAATTAAAATGTATTTATTTTTTAGATGGGTGTTCTTTTTTTACATTGCATGTCAAGTGACACCACAGAACATTTCCATGTCATGATACATAAAAAGTTTAATTACAAAATGAGAATTATTAAACCAAGCACTTAAACCTCAACATTGAATTTCAGTGAAGGTGAAAATGACTTTGAATTGGAGTAATTAAGAGATTTTCTGTAACTTGTTCCAAAAGAAAGGGAAGGATACATGCCTCTAAATGTGTATGATTTACTAATAAAACAAAATAGTTTTAATTTTTGGACAATCAGTTTTCCTTCACTTTTTAAGGGGCTTCAAATGTGTTTTGCTCTCTCTGTCTCTCTCTCTGTCTCTCTCTCTCTCTCTCTCTCTCTCTCTCTCTCTCTCTCTCTCTCTCTCTCTCTCTCTCTCTCTCTCCAGCATTGGGTGACATGTTCCCCCACAAGCATGCAGTAGGAAAGTTTCCATTTCCAATTCCACCAATCCCTGGCTGGGATCCTGACACCAATCCATGGGATGATTACCTCTACCCTCCTCTAAACCCAAAGCCAAAAGAGCTCATGCACCACAGAGGTGAGTAAGGTTTTTGTTTTTCTCTGAATTCTTCCTACTATGTTTGGAGTTTTTCACCTGGAACATCCACATTTCTGCAGGTAAACCCAAGGTTCGTCTGACCAGCGACAGTCCAGCTCTCAATGGCTCTTGCATCTCCTTCACTGCGAAGCTGGAGTACCCTCCATGCCAGAAGGAGGATGCCAATGGAGACCTTGTATGGGATGAGCACTGCGAGGACGGTACGGAGCTGGAGGCCTCAGGTGCTGTCAAAAAGCCCGGCCAGGCCACGCCCCCAAACACATTACACTATCATGCGCCACAAAACCCCACGGCATTGTATTAGACAGACTCTCTCACAGGACCATGATAATAATAAATGGTTCGATTGAAGTAGTAATTCATTTTTGTGGCCACTTGGGGGCAGTGTAACAAACTGTAAACACCTCATAGAGTTGGTGACAGTCCAGCCATACAGATGAAAGATCATTTGCTTTAAACTGCCTGCAGCTGCTAGAAAGATGGGTGGAGAGTCTGAATCAAAACCAACAAAACAATTTGCTGAAAGAGGCTAAAATGGTCCTTAGAGCTGCAGCGAACTGCAATGTTAAAAGATGGTCGTCACCACAAGTGACTCCTTTCACATTCCAAGTAGTTGTTTGACCTATTGTCTATATAAATGTTAATTAGTGCAGCTTTATTTTTTTTTAAATAACGCAAACTTTTGCTTCACTCTCTACTCTTCTCAGCAGCCAATGGACAGCTCCGATCAGGCTATGTGTACAACTGGACTTCCTGGTTGGATGACTATGGCTTTGGAAAGTGTACAGACCTGAAGAAATGCAACGTGTTCCCTGATGGAAAGCCCTTCCCTCAGAGCAATGACTGGAAACGCAAGAGCTATGTCTACGTGTGGCACACGATGGGTGAGTACACATAGGTTGACAGGTTTGCACGCATGCACAAGCAAAAACAAAATAAGCAACGTCTCTCTGTTCGTCTTCTCTGTTTGTTCCAGGCCAGTACATCGAGACATGTGACGGTTCCTCCTCCAGTGTGACCATCAACACCACCAACATCCCTCTGGGTGCAGAGGTCATGGAGGTTATGGTCTACAGGAAACGTGAGCGCAGGAAGTACAGCCCCCTCACCACTGACAACACCGTCTTCTATGTCACAGGTGGAGACAAACTCACATATTCAGCTTGTACAACTTTTTCTGTCAGCATGTTTCAGCCAAACAGATACAAACACAAGGAAAAACCTGGGGAATTAATTATTTATGTCTCCCCTACACACTCTCTCTTAGATAAGATCCCAGTGGCAGTCAACATCTCCCAGAAGGCTGCGGCCAACCAGTCTCAGAATGTTTTCTTTAGTGGTGAGGACGTGGTCTTCAAAGTCCAGCTCCATGACCCCAGCGGCTACCTCAAAACTGCCGCCGCCATCGACTACATCTGGGACTTCAGAGATGGCAACCAGCTGGTAACACACCGCGACGTGACCACACACACCTACAGCAGGCTGGGGACCATGAGTGTGAAGCTGGTGGTGGAGGCAGCGTTCCCTATTGAGTGTCCACCCACTGCTGCCACCCCGACTCAGAAGAGCTCCACGTTACGTCCTCCCACAGGTCAGATACGGCTCCAGTGGGCAAAGTTGAAAACATGTTGTGAGATATTTTCCTTTAAGCTGCTATATGCAGGGTTTTCAAGCAATTATAGTCATTGTGATGCTAAGTGGTGCAGTCTGAGGCCCTTTAACTGAGGTTCAAATTTAGAGACCTTAAAGGAGTACTCCAGTGATGTAGTATTCAGCTGAGATCTGGATCTTACAATTCCTTCAATGAAACTTATAGATTTGTTATGTCTTTAAAACTGCCCCCAGTTTGTAATGCAGGTTTTCTGTAAGAAAGTAGACATTATAGTTTAATATCAGGATGGTCGTGTAGGTATGTTGTCCTTATAATAATAATAATAATAATAATAATAATAATAATAATAATAAACCTTTACTATTAACTATTATTATTTTCTTAACAATTTTACAAAGTTCTGTACAAGGCAAAAAAAGCAAGCAGGGCAGATAAAATGACAGTCAGGAACATGAGCACCGAAGTAATAAAACAATGGAATGAATAAGAACAAATAAATAAGAATAAAAACATTACAAATAAAAATATATCAGATATTCCCAAAAGCTTGCACGAAGAGAAAAGTTTTAAGAAGAGATTTAAAAGAACCAAGGGATGTAGTGTGTGTTCACTAGGCAGTCAGTTCCAAAGTGGGGGGGGCTCTAATGGCAGATCGCCTTTTGTCACACAGCATGACCTGGGAATAACCAGCAGTGTGTGGGAGCAAGTCCGTTTAAAGCTTTAAAAGTTAGTAATACAATTTTAAAATCAATTCGAAATGTGACAGGGAGCCAATGTAGGGAGGCCAGCATTGAGGTGATATGTTCAAATTTCCTGTCCCAGTAGCAAGTCGAGCAGCAGTGTTCTGTGACAGCTGGAGACAGTGGAGGGAACCCTGTGTGATACCTGAGTAAAGGGTCACTTCATCCAAATCATTAAAAAAATATTTTTTTCATACACTGCAATCTAATCATTCAGATTTGATATGGTTCTGATATATCAGGGGCTATTTTTTATTCAAAAGTATCCAATCAACTACTCTCTATAAACTGCAACATTGCCTCTGACAATACAAACTGCTTTTGAATTTTTAAATGTAATGCCTTAATGTCTGCAGGATACCTCCCACCAGAAGTAAGTAAGAAAATGTGTTTTTCTTTGTTATTTGGATGAACTGACCACAGAAAGCATTAACCCTGCTAACCTCGGGCGCTGGATTACTGCTGTTACACAACTGGTCCTGCAATCTGACCTTGATGGAAAAGACAAAGCTAGACGTTCCCTGCACAGATTATTCAATTGTTACCTCATAAAACTATATGTGTCATAACTGTATTCCCGTTTCTTTTTTTCTCCAGAGGCTCCCACACTTCCACCCGGCACTCATGCTGGTACTGTCAAGATGGAGACCACACAGGGTGAGTTTGTGTTTAATTATGTTTGTTTAAGGGAGACAGACGGAGAAAGGCAGTGCATGTTACATACACACTTTCTCATCCATATCTTGAAACTTCTCCTGTTTCAGCGCCACGCAGCACCCGCCTCCCCCTCCCCTCCTCTACCTCCTCACCAGTTGCCATGACATCAGGTGCGCCCACCACAGAGCCCCTTCCCCCTATTCATGCCAGTGCAACCCCAGAGTCCAACCCCACCACCCTGGCCTTGCTCCGAACCAGGCGTCTCAATAACAACCAGTGCTTCCGCTACGCCCATGGGACCTTCATGGGCAACATCACCATTATTGGTAAGTGTGAGGCTGCAGTTTCCTTTTCACTCACAGTCTGATGATATAGTTATAATTTAAGTGGACGGCATAGAGTAGATAAGAGACACTGCTGTCCAGCTGTTACAGAGTGGACAGAACAGAGCTCCAGTCACACACTCAGCAGTCTGTGTCGTATGAAACTGGCCATTTTTGTCAAATAAAGAAACAAATCCAATTACATATTTAAAAAAAAATTTGTGATGGAAGGATTATAATTTTATATCAAAATTGTTAATCCTTACTGTTATGGTTCTGTTTTTGTCCCCTTAAAACCTGCCTTCGTGGTGCACACCAACAGACACACACGCACACACTCACACCACCCTCCACTAAAAACCTTTGAGCTTCATCATTTTAATGTTATGAGAAGATGATTCTAAAACCAACTGCATTAATCTGTTCTCTGCAGAGCCCAAGCAAGCACTGTACAGTCAGCCGAACAGTCGCATTGTGGACGTGTCGGCCTCTAGAGTGACCAACACTGACATCAGTTTCCTGGTGAAGTGTCTGGGCAAGTGGGTATTATTTTATTATCAATTTTAAATTAATGTTAAAATGTTTTGTGCTTTTCTTGACTGCTGTAAGTGAAATCCAAAATTGTATCTCCAGAAGACAGCTTTTACTCTCACTAACAGCATGTAGCATATGTTTTAACACACGTTCACTAAAATTGGAATTAAAATGTGTACATTTTAAAATCTTTGGCATAACGGTGATAGCAAATCACAGTCTAAGTTTCATAATCATGATAAGTAAACTAGGAAATTAGATAATTATAAAATAATCTAATCCAGTCAAAACATAATTTAAAGTACTGTAATGGTATTACTATGTTGTCATTGGCATTTTGGCAAACAAAATGTCTTGCATCTCTAGTGGCTTATTTGTAAAGCTGTGGTCTATTTATTAAGAGTGTAAAATAGTTGAAAGAGAAGGAAAAAAGATAAAGGTTTAGTCATTTTATTCAATCCTTCATCTTTCCGTCCCTCATCCTCAGCATCCCCACTTCAGCCTGCACCATCGTGTCAGACCCCAGCTGTACTCAGGTGAGTAACATTATGTGCGATGATGTGCCGCCATCGTCAGAGTGTGAAGTGCATCTCAGGCGAACATTTTTGGAGCCTGGCACCTACTGTGTCAACATCACCCTGGAGGACTCCAGCAGCCTGGCCCTAACCAGCACCACGGTCACCATCAACAAGTCCCAGGATAAACCTGGTCAGTCAAACAAAGATATTAATTCTCATATCCTACACGTTCACTCATAATTCATTTAACTTTTTGAAATGTGACCTTATTATACGTCCATTCTCTTTAGCTTCAGCTTGATAAAAAGTGGACAGATTGATGTTCTCTGTCTTTGCTTGTGTCTGTCCATGTAGCATCCAAGACTTCTCACTCTGCTGAGGTGGTGCTCTCTTCTACTGCTGTGCTGGTGGCTGTCTTTGCATTCATTGCCTATCTGGTCTGCAGGTAAGTCATCAGAAACATGTACAGTAGGCTACATACTGTCTCATGGGGACATGAACATATGACCAGTCGTCATAAAATGTCCAAATATCTGTTCTTTCTTTACACAATGTTATTTTGAACATCCTCCACCAAACATTGCCCTCCCGTCCATCCTCCTATCCCTTATCTGACTTTTCCCTCTCTCCCAGACGTTACAAGGTGTATCGTCCCATTCGTAGGTCACTGGTGGAGGATGCCTGCGGCCACGCTGGGGTCGGAGGTCGCATGGTGCGTCTGAGGGAGGCACTCTTCCCCTCCAGTGAGGAGAGCCATCACCTGCTGACTGAGAGACGCCCCCTGTAGGCTTTATAGGGCTACACCCAATTATTTCTGCCCTTCATGGCAAGAAGCCTGAAGGAAAATCACAATTGACATGCGCAAATCTAAGCATAAGTCATATAATTAAGAAGTCCAGATAGCAGAAATACAGTCATGTCTGTAGAGAAATATTAGTAAATAATAATACTGTCTTGTTTGTGTCTTAATATAGTTGTTAAAAGAGTGTTGGCTACAGCAAATGGCTAATGCTACAGCAGTATATGATTGGTAAGATGATTTACTAAAGAGGCTGTTAAATGTTTGATTGAGGCATTGCTCCTTTTGATCTTGTTCTGGTTCAACATTAGATGAAGTAGTTGCTCAGAGATGAATTGGGTTCAAGTCATGTCTGTTTTTTGATGAAAAACGCTTTTGTGCAATTTGTGTGCCAAGTACTGCTTTTAAATACTTTGCCATATACTGCAATAATCAAATCCTTGACATGGTCTTCCAATATAAAGTTTATACTACCTGTGACATGTGCATGCTCTTCTGCAGTTGAGTGAATTAAAAGTACATTTTTAAACTGTTATACCTAAAAACTAATCCAAGGAATTCACTAGAAACTTGAAATTAGGACTCTAATAAAGGTAGTGAACTAACCATTTGTCTTGTTTTTATCAATTCTTTTATGAATTGAAGGTTGGGTGTTAATCTGGCAGAAGTCAGTTTTTACCGGTCACTTCAATAATTTTTTTTTTTTTAATCAACTTTGAAGCTATTGAATGTGAGAGATGTAATGTGTTCACACTGAAAACCAGACAAAATAAATACTGATGTAGAGAGCTCTTAAACAATGCAATGCATAAAAGGAAATTAAACTTACTGCAGATGGAGGTCAAACAGCTCCTGGAACTGTTCAGATGACAAATTCACTTTGAAACATATTGGATTCCATTCATATGAAGTATGGGGTTTTTGGGTAGCTATTGACTGAAGAATACCTCCACAGTATTAATGCTCAAGATACTGATAGCAAGTTCTAACAAGAAGACGATCATTGAATCTCAAAATCAGCAACTTCCCATCCCAGCGTCCTTTATGGTGGAAAGTTCAACATGTAAGATTCATCCCAACTAAATTTAATCCAATTGATGTCTCACTTGTTAGACCTGAGAATATAAAACATGCCAATCTTAGCATTTTGAAGTTAGTGTATCTACAAAACGTAAGCATGTGTAGATAAAGTTTTGTCCTGCTCTGGCTCTACAGAATTACCATTTAACAGCATTTTGCAGCGTTCAAGACCAACTTGTGATATCAATTTGGTTGCCTTTGGTTACATACACGCAATGAGAACAACCTTCAAAATACAGATACCAAATACAGTTTAAAAAAAACAAACACAATTTAATTATTTTTTTTTTTATTCAGAGGCATTTGACAAGTGGAGCTGTGTGTGAAGGGGAAGTGAAGGGGCACAAGCATGGTTGCAGAGAGGGGGAGGAGGGAATATCATGCTGAAGTTAGATCACTTTTCCAAAAAAAAAAAAAACTCAGAGACCCAGTCCCTCATATCTGTCTCATACCAAGAGGATGTTCCACATTACACAGCCAAGAAATGCTAACAGAAGAAAATAGCTACCAAATCAGCAAGTGAGTGTAGCATCTGTGAAAGACAAAAAGGGAAAAAAAAAAAAAAAAAAAAGACAGGACTTGTATCTATTTTGAAGTCTTACAAATCAGAAACAAAAAGGCAGGCCCTTTTTTTGAAAAAGAAAACAAAAACAAAACTGTATTTTCTCATTTAACTATTGAATGCAAAATCAAACACGTGATTTGACCTTTTTCACAAAAAACCCAAGCAAAGTTCAAATACATGTAAGCCACACCACCAAAATTAGAAAGCGGAAAGAACTAACCATCGGTTTGAGGATTTCAATTAAGCAAAAAAAATAAAAAAAAATAAAAAAAGTATATAAACACTGGCAAAAGAAAATATTTTTGATCACTTTCGATTATTCTCTCAATTCTAAGTACATGATTTTTAGTTTTCATTCATATCTGGGGAAGCATGGGGAGGCATAAAGGGGGAGGGGCTAAATTCTAACAAATAGAGAATGCCTCTACTTCAAATACGTGTCTAAAGAGGTAGATCAAAACAAACGGGAGGAGGGGAAAGGGGTGGGGAGGGTGGTTTGGCAGGAAGGAGGCAGGGAATCAGGAGGTGTCTGGGATAATTTTAAGTATCACTTGTGCCCCTCAGTTAAAGCGCGGTGTTAGGATGGCGCGCCCATGTAGAAAGAAGTGTTCTGGGGGACTGAGGTATCAGTGCGCGCTGGCGCTCAGTGGGGGCAGGCTGGGGTGCCTAGTGCCACAACAACCCCCCACCCCCTCAGCTGAGGTAGACGGCGTTCTACTGTGGAAGCATGGATACACTCGAGCACTTTTACCACAATCAACATATTTACATTCGGCATGAAGAGAAATCAAATAAATTGTATATTTTAAGTTTTGGATTCCTTTCCTCTTTTCTTACTCCCAGTCAGGGTTCATTCAGTATTTTGTCCCTGTAAGAACAAATTGAAACATCAAGTTACATTTGTGGGTTACAGAGAATGTCTTGTCGTTTAAATTATTTTCCTATAGCGTAAAAAGAAAAATCATTTAAAAATGCGTCTATCAGTGTGACTCCCCCTACCCTCACCATGCAGTGAACGACGTTAACATTGACTTGATGGCCTGGCTACAAGAGCCACTCCGAACTGACAAAGCTTGCTCTATGAAAATAAACCTAGTCGGGCTTGGACCTTGCTATGACACCATCGTCAAGAAGGTGGCAGATGGCCTGGGAACAGACCAGACAAAAAACAGACACTCTGCTGACTCTATGGCAGCTAGAGAGAGGACTGTTACAGTCCACACTGCACTGTCCTGACGACAGCCCTCCAAAGAAGGCAAAAAGGATTTTTTTTGACAAATTAAAGTACCATTACCAATAACAATGTCAATCCCAAAACTAAATGGCATTGCTATAATTATGTACGGTTGGCATTATTTGCGTGTCTTAGTTGTTTTGTACTTTTTTTTTTATGGTGGACCCTCAGGGGAAAAACTGAGGCGATTTTCTCTCGATACTCCTGTCAGCCGCCAGCTGAGGGGGCGCCAACTCTTGCTCCGGGGCTGCTATGTACAAATAGACTTTATGTACAGGGTCATCTTAAGTCACACATACACATGAACAATGCCACCTAAAGCACCAGAGTTGAAGGCAAGGTCAGTTGGCAGCTGACCAAATTTTAAATTTTCTTAAAAAAATAAAAATGTTCAAAGACTATCAGCTTTATAAAGTATACAAAATACCACAAAAGCAAAATAAAAAAAGAAAGGAACATTTTTTCATATATATATATAATCATTTTCTTTTCTCTTCTGAGGTACTAGATCCTGAGGTAGTTAAGTAAAATGCATATTAAATTGGTTTTCCTGGGCAGCAGCAGTTCGGCACCATTTCCCTAAGTGTCAGTCATGGCGCTGCCCTCACCTCTAAATATATATTCATCTATGTATATAGGTCTATCTATAAAATGCATCCAAATTTATAAAATGCCACTATCATTACAAGGGCAGGACACCCAATATAATCCACCCTTTCAGGGGTCCCGTCCTGAAACAAGAATCTTTCCCCTAAACATGGCCCACCCAATCTGAGCCAACCCTCCCCCAAAATAAACCTCTCTGTTGGTCCAACCAGGACCTTGATAGCAATGCCTTTTCCTTTCCACAGAAAACTCATGAGAAAGCTTAGTCAACCAATTAAACACTAAAAAAAAAAAATTTCAACTAAATCTGAAGTCAACCAAAACATTTTGTCAGGTTTGAAGTACCACACCAAGGAGGTGATAGGAGGGGGATCCTTATTTCTTCTTTGTGTTTCTAGTGTAAAAAGATGACCAAAAATAAAAAATAAAAAAAATCTAACACACCCGTGGCAGGGAGGAGGAGAGCGGTCGAGGGGTGTGTACATGTGAGGGCAGGTGACGACGTTGGGAGCCCTCAGAAGTACATTCTCACAGAGATGCAGAGAGGTGAGGTGGGTGGAGGTTTAGGAGGCGTAGGGTCTCTTTATTAGCCACACTTGAAAGCTAATCAAGTAAGACAAGGAGGGGTAGATGTTTGGTTGGGTTCTGATAACCTTTGACCCCTGAGATGAGCATTACAACCCCTTGTTGTCTTGTTCTCCCCACGGACTCTGCTGCATCGGTCCATCTGTCGAGTCTTCTGGCAGATTCGGTCACCATTCCTCCAGGTCCGCTGGATCTTTACTTCCTGCGGGGCAGTGGAGGTTGGGCTCCAGATGTGGGCTTAGGCTGCTGCTGTCTCCTCACCTGGGCCAGGATCTCCTGAATCTTCCTCTGGGCCAGCTAGATGACATGAGAAAATGCAATGATCAGATCACAGCACAAAGTAATCAAATTAAGGAATTCAGAATGACATCCTGAATTCAGAATGACATCCTGAATTCAGAATGACATCCTGAATTGATGCCTTATGGTCAGTCCATGCTCTTCTCAGCACTGTCCAGTATAACAGCTGACACTAAAATGTTGGCCATCATGAAGGTCTTGGGTAAATATTGGTTTATGGCTCACTCTGCATAAGCTCTGCCTTTTAGTCATACAATCGCTCATTAGCCATTTCTAACAGCGAGACCAGGTGGCAAGTACCTTACAGCAAAATGACCTTTATTCAGTTCCACAGAGATTAAGGATTCCTTAGAGGGCTTTTGTCTTCCTGAGGTACAGTACATCTTTATTTCCTTTAAAGAAACCCACCTGGCATGCAAAGAAGTGTCCGCTGATCTTAACTATAACCTGGTCGTTCTCATCGGGCGTCTGGTCCCTGGGCACCACCACTTCTGCACAGGTCAGGTTCTGCAGCTCATTTACCTGCAGCCACAACAAAGAGGACAAAATGAAACAACGTAGAGAGTTGGGGTAAGAACAACACTTTAAAGCTTTGTTTTTAATTCGTTGGAACAAACTTAATGTAAGTGAAGCTTGAAATATTCTGTGTTTTGTTTCTTCAGCTAGCGTAATGATTAATAAATCAGTTTACCGTTTTTCCACCCTTCCCAATGACTCGTCCAGCAGCAAAGGAGGGAACCTTGATGTGAGCCTCCAACTTCACCTCTTCCTTGGGTCCGAAGAAATTCTCTTCCTTTAGTTTGCCAAAGATGCGACACTGAGCCTGCAGCCGGACAAGATGGAGAACCAATTACTCATGCTGCACTTCAGAAACAGGACATTTTTCCAGAATTCTTTTTTTTTTTTTTAAAGACTAAGAAAAACATTTCTGTACTGGCAGTAAAGAGTCATCAACATAATAAAAAAAACTGCAAAAAAAATCCAAGAGCTACCCAACAGCTGTTACCATTAAATCTGACTATGTGCCTCCATTCTTTTATTTCTACCAACAGTGTTTTATGTGTTTATATGGCCGTGAAAAGGTACAACACCTTAAACTGAGCCTCTGGCGGCCCAACGATGATGACCATCCTCTGTTTGGCATCCATTCCTTCTGCAGGGGCAATCTGAAACAGGGCAAACAGCCAGCATTAAAAAAAATAAATAAATAAACCTCAGCAACCTTCACTTATGCTTCCACTTCCTATCACTCAAGTGGCAACAGGTAGACAGCCGGCATCGACACGTTATCATTGAGATTCAGAACTTCACCTCCTGTCCGTCACTCACCTTGATTGAGGCTCCGGCGAAGTGTGACAACTGTTTGATGTGTTGACCCTGTTTTCCAATGATAGCTCCCACTGCAAGCGCTGGGATGAACAGGTGAACTGTCTCCGACTCTGGGTGTCCCTGCTGGGTATAAAACACGTTAGTGCTACTGTGACCAGGAGATCACATGACAGTAAATGCAGACCACTTGCTCAAGTTCAGCCACCAATGCACAAGTGCAGACAGTGGATCCAGCAAAAGCAGTTCAGTTCTTTAAGCTACGTTGGCGCTCATGCCCGCCACTTGAATGCACCAGCTGGTCAGAAGAGACATATTGGTCCTGCAGTAACACAAACGCAGATGCTACGGTCATTATGTCCAGGAGGAATTTTTCTATGTCGACTGATGAAAAGAGCATGCTTTATGTTCTTAACGTCAGAGTTTTTGGTCTGTTTTACTGCTCAATACAGTGTTAAAACTAATATTTTAATTGAATCGCCGTTTCAAAAAGCTACAATCTGATTTTGCCACATGCATCAGTTTAGTAATTCCATCAGGTAGAAAGTGGTATCTGGATTTTCTTTCCATTACACTCCATAATGGAGGAGTGCCTTAGAGAGGACTGTACTTACAGATACCTTGTTGCAAACGCATCACTTTAAAGAGTGCGATATACTTGGGGAGGTGGTTGCATCATCAGAGAGTAGTAGCACTGTTGATTTTGAGGTTTTACTCGCCATACGAAAAACACCCCCCTAAAAAACTGCAAATGCGGCATATTTGGCAGAAATTACACTGTAAAACGAAGCTTATCAAAAATATGACTAGTAGCCAAGCTACTGTTCTACTCCAGGACTTATGTCTCCCCATCCACCAGGTTACCAACTGCACACAGATTAGGCCTAAAAAAGGTCAAAGATCAAGGGGCAGTTGAGAAGAACCCCCCCCCCAATCCCGCAGCGAGCAGCCACAAGCCGTGCAAACCACTTTGGGACGGGTGACTTACAGCAAGGGGCTGGCTGCTCGCCGACAGCATTGAAGCCCAAAATGGCCCCTCACCCCCATAAGGACTGCACTAAAGGAAAAAAGAAATATAAAACTGAGTTGCTAAAGACCAAGTGTCTGCTTTTGTTTGAATTGTAGTTTTCGCTAGCCTGACCCAAGAGTTGCAGCATGTCTAGATTTAAAAAAAAAAAAAAACAGCCAGTCCTGTAATGGTAGTGACCACTGTACTGGATGTGAAAAGGAGACTGTCACTTACTCCAAACGATGAGCATCCACCATGGGCTCCAGGAGGTGGGACACTGGACATGGAAGGACCCATGCCTGGTGCGCCACTGGGGAACAAACCCAAAGCGTTCAGATTCAAGCCTGGAATCAGGTTGGACTGGAGCTGGAAAGAAATAAGAACATTTCTATAACACAATATGTGTCACAGGATGTACACTTTGCTCATCAACAACATTAATCATATTTACTAAGAATCACTCTCAGCTCAGGAAGTGAGAAAAACCAAATGCAAATTATATAGTTTGACATTTTTAAAGTTAATACAAACAGTTGTACCTGAGGTTATAATGTGATGCATATGACTGTTTGCAACTTTATTATACAGAATAGCTAGGTGACTTCTGAACAGCATTTCTTTATCCATATCCCTGGCCAGAAGACATAAAAACACCTCACAATTTTTAAACAGGGAAGGATGGGGGGAGAAAGTAAGTTATACTTATTACACTTATGTGTACAATAGGCCTCTCCTGGTGACACTACAGTGAACATTTTGGACAGCCAGGGGCAGGAAAACCTCCCAGAAGATTTGTATCAAACCTAACATGTAAGTGAAGACAGAAACTAAAAAAAATAAGATAAATTAACCAATCTCAGAACAACTTCTCAAACAGCTTGATTTGTGTTTGTAAACTCAGACATTCAAAATATATCAAAATGCCAGATTCTTTGATACATTTTCTGTGGAATTTCTTATACATTTATTATGTATAAACACACACACACACACACACACACCCCCCAAGTGTAAGCTTTATTTTCCAGGTGCCATCCCCTGCATTGAAAGCAGTAAGCTCACAGTTGAGGAACTGCGGTCACTGAATTTAGTCTGAACACTCGTTTTGGATTCTCAAATATATTTTCTAGACAAATGGAAATCTTTAAGGCTTAAGGCATTAGGAAAAACTTTAACAATATAATCCTGCTGGAAAAGCATTGTTTCTGAAAGGTTTGAGTGTGTGAATTTGTACATGACAACGATTCAGGATATGAAAGTGCTGCTATGGCAGATCACTGTTGGGCATGGTAGCACTTCCTAAAAAATGTTTTTTGGTTTCTTGTTTTCATTTTTTAAGTCACAGTAATTATCTATGGTGAACGTCACTTTTAAAGCAATTGGTCAGTGGAAACTTTCCATAATTTATACTTCCCATTTGAAGGAATTCTTTTTTTCCTCCCCTTGTTGAATAAAAAAATGCTTACATTCATAGCAGCCATGTCACTTTCGTACGATTCCCTGATCTTCTTCATCACTTCTTCCTCTGCTCTTGAGCACGCCTCAATGGAGCCCTTCACTGTGATGGTCCGCTCTGGGTTGTATAGGGTCAAATCCTGGAGACTGGACAATGGAGGGAGGTAAACAAAGAGACATGAGAACAATCGCAATAGAGTATAAATTCTGACACCAAAGCAAATACTACAACATTAAATATGCATGCCATGCTAAGTAGCACTTATTAGGCTGCAAGAAAGAATTCAAAAAGGTCTTACGGTGAAATTGTGATCTTGGTCCCCGTATCCTGCTCAATTTTCTTCAGGTTGCGTCCTTCCTTCCCAATTAATCTTCCTACAAAGTTATTGTGTGCGAGTATCTTCAGTGGAATCTCCTCAGTACTGCACGAGACAGAAATCAACAGTAACTAAACATTCAAGATCAGACCACTACCAATGTCTATTTTGTTCACATGTTGTGAATCGTTAGTATTTAAAAAAAAAAAAAAAAAATTTATATATATATATATATATATATATATATATATATATATATATATATATATATATATATATAAAATATATATATATATATATATTTTTTTTTTTCCCCTGGCCAGTAAAGTTTCCTTCTCCCCCCCCACAGGCATTTATCTTCAACCACAAACTTCTGCCAATTATAAACACGGCTGTGCATCACAACAAATTACTGATAACATTAAGAGGGCTTAGGGAAAACAGCTACATCACTGGAAATCTGATTAGGCCATGGGTGTGTACAGCAAAATGACCACTTCTTCTCTTTCACAAGTTTGTAGGTGGCACATAAAACTGTCAGAACCAAGCTGAACTAGGGCAAATACTCAGATTTCGTTTGGGCACAAACTCACAACTTTGTGTCGACAGCTTCTTTCTGCATGATCTCCATGATGGTTGTACAAGCGTTCGAACAACCTTCAGGGGTGGAGTGAATTGTGATGGGCTTCTCTGCTGCACCTGCATTTTCTTTCCTATGAATGTCGATCCTGGTGTAAAGGCAAGGCAGAATTTATTTGTATAGCACCTTACAGCACTAAGGCAATTCAGAGCGCTTTGCATAAGACAGACATTAATACATGTAAAGAAAATTTAAAAAAAAAAGACAGTTAAAAAGAAGCTTTAATTAAGCTTAACTAGAATATAGACTAAAAAGAATACAGAGTGCAGCTACAGTGCAATGCGAGATATGATTAAATAGTCCCAGATTTAACTTGAGTCAGTTAAATCAGGGCTTTAGACTTTTGAGTCTGAGTAGACCAAGAAAAAAAAACAAAAGCTGCTTCTTCATGTTTAGTTATGACTCTGGGAAAAGTAAGCAGATCTGTCCCAGGTGGTCTTGAAGGGTCTGCACAGTTCATAACACCAGCAGATCAGAAATAAAGTTTGGCCCTGAACCATTCAGGGCTTTAAAAAATTATAAAAAATAGAATTTGACTAGAATCAAGTCAATTCTTTGGATCACATCAGCTCTGTTCTTTGCACTGGTTTCCACTTGCCTGGTCTTTTTTATTATTATTATTATTATTATTATTATTATTATTATTATTATTATTATGCAGCTGTCTGATAGACTTTTTAGCAAGACTTGTGAAAACAGCGCTACAGTAGTCGAGCCTGCTGAAGATAAGAGCATGGACAAGTTTTTCTAAAGTCTGCTAAGCTCCCTTTAGTCCCTTAACTCTTTCTATGTTCTTAGGGCGATAAGAGCCGTGGTCTTTAACGTTAGCAAGTGAAGCTACGCACTGACTTTTAATCAATCTGATTTGTTAAATTATACTACTCAAACATTTTCTTCAACAATGATCTTATGTGCAATTCTTGTATAGGACCATAGACACCCAGTGGTATAGTTATATATAAATCTGTGCGTCATCTGCATAATTATAAGATCTTGTTTTCTAATGTACAGTATCATATAACTGTTTGAAAGGTGCTTTATAAATAAAGTTTATTATCACTGTTATTATCAGTGCTGGTCAGAGCAGGATGATGTTGAACAGATGAGGCCTTAGAATGATAAACTGCAAGGTCAGATGTGTAATTACCAAATCGACAAAATAGTTCTGGTCCTCGAAATAGGATTCAGACCAGTTTAGCCCTGTGCCAGACCCAGTTTTCAAACCTGTCTAGTAATATGTTGTAGCTGACCATGTCGAATGCAGCCCTGAGATCCAATTATCCTAACATGTAAACTTTTCCACCGCCTGTGTTTAATTGGATGTCATTCAAGAAATCAAGAAGAACCGTCTCTGTACTGGGTGTAGTTGGACTCCTGAGTGGAATACATCTAAATAACTGTTTAGGGCCAAGAGGGTGTTAAACTGTTGAAAAACTAAATTTTCAACAATTTTACAAAGTGATGATTGATATGGGCATGTAATTGATCATTAGAGTGTTGTTTAGATTGTTCTTTTTTAAGAGTGGCTCGATAATAGCATTTTTCAGAGCACGAGTACAGAGTAGAGAAGTGTTGACTATTTGCAGAAAATCTAATGCCATGCAGTTAAAAACCATTTGAGGCAAGACCACAATTGGAAGATTTAAAAGGTTGCACAATTTCCTCTGAAGTTACATGGTTGATAGGTTCAAATTGTATCATGCCAAGTGAACTGGTTTTACATGGATGCACCCTATACCTGATATGGGGAGACAGAGGTAGTATCACTTTCTGAAATTTGTCAGTGAAGCAGGAGACAAATTCTTTGTATGTTTTAGAGCATAAAAGTTCAGGGGCTACTGACACAGGAGGGGTTTTCAGCCTGTCAAAAGTAGCAAAGGCAGCACAAGTTTCATCATTTTTTTGTCAGTTATGTCACAGAAGCAGTGCCTTGCATTTCTCAGGTCCACATTATAACTGCAAAGTCTTACTTCATAGATTTGTTTTTCACCTCAGCTCAATTTTTCTGAATTTTATCAGCGTTGCATTTGTCCATAGTACTTTATTGATGAAAGCTGATTTAAAAATCTGCTTATTTTAATGCTAGAAGTTGAAGGAACAGAAAAAGGACAGGACACAGGTTACCGGCAGTGTTCAGTACAATTTCGGACCTCTGTGTACGTACTTTGAGTGGGTCTGTTTGGTGATGTTGCGGATAGTGGCACCCTCCTTGCCGATAATTGCCCCTACAAACTGTGTGGGAACCAGCATGCGTAGTGGGATGTCTGACTGCACTTTGGGCCGGGCACCCAAACCTGGAGAGCCAGATCGAGGAGGTCCACGGGCGTTAAAGCCTCTTCTGCCTCCCGCTGAAGGACCCTCTGGTGCAGCTGTTTCATCTGGGATATAGGACACTTTCAAGGCATAGTTCTCCATCATAGATCCATTCAGCTTCTCCATTGCCCTGGGGAGCATAAAGAGAAGTCAGTCTCTAAAACTCTTGATTGCCCTGAGTGGGTTTGATTTAAAAGCAGAGAAAGGCTTGGAGTGAAATGCTCTGAGTAGATCAACTGCCAAACAAATTTCTGTTGAGGCACACAACGTTTCACATCTGATTTCTGTACCATCTACTTATCAATGGAAGAATCCAAGGAGGGGGAACATTGAAACATAATCAAGAGGTTTTGTTACAAATTGATATGGTTTATGTCTCAAATAATGGGCATAAGGGACGAGGAAGAAAGACCTCCTTTACAAGCCCAACATCCTGAAGGGCAGTGGTCACTCACCACTTCTCGTGAGCTACGGAAAATTCCCTCTGACCTCAAGACAGCATTCACACCTAATACACATCTGCCCTGTCAGTCCCAAGGATTTATTTTTGTAGTGAAACAATCAATTATGCCTGGAGACTTCTACAACCACTCGTGCAGAGCGCAACACTGCAGTATTATTCATGTCCACCAGGGGGCACCAGATGGCTAATTTAACCCCCCCCTCCTCCCTCTCCAACACACACAGACTCCCACCCCCTCCTCTCCGTAATCATTGCATGTCAAATTAAACTAGACTGGGTTTTGGAAGGAGGAAATCAGGTGCACTGTAAGACCACTAGACAGAGGAAGTTAATGTAATTTCCAATACAGAATGTTGGGTAAAGTGTAAACCTTCAACACATCCACGTCAAAGACGAGATAGATGAGCTGGAGATAAATGATGTTAATAGAACGTGTGTGTGCATGTGTGTATACTCACAGCCTGGCCTGGTCCTTGGCTGCATATCGAACATTGACTACTGCAGTCTCTGTGTCAGTGTTTACTGTGGGGGAGCAGACAGCAGAGTCAAATCACACACAGTGACACAATTCACCACCATGGGCTACTTTTACTTCAACAATTATAAATAAACTACTTTGTAAAGTTTGCAATGATGTACTTTTATTTTGCATAATAAAAGACGAATAAAAAAAGATTGTAGGGTTGTAATATAAAAGGTGACACTAACTGAATGCAGTATAAGGGTGCATGTTGGGGCAAGGTGATGGAATTATGTTTCAAACAAAATGCGACAAAGCTTAAACAAGTGTGTATTTACCTTGTTCACAGCTCTCTACTGCACCATATTGAGCAAGCATACCATCCAAAACCTGGGAGAAAGAAAGAAAAGCCATGATTACTCAGACGTTGGAGGTTTTGACCAGAACCTGTTAGTGAGCAGGAGCTATCTATGGGAACCAGCTCAGCTTGCTGCAAGGACACATTACATTAATTCTGAACCCCAGAGTTCAATGTCTCTCAAATTATGACACCCCCCCCTTAGGGCACTTGCATGGAGCTCCAGGTACTGAATGTATTTTATAACATTCAACACAAAAAGTCTTTATTTCAAAAGTACGTATTCATTCACTGTAAAATAATTAGAAAATAAAGGTGAGATTTACAAACAGCCCACTATTCATCTAACATACATGGATTTAAAAAAATAAAAATCTTAAGCTATCCAAAAATAATCCATAAAGCTATAGCTGCTTTAAATTGTTAGTTTTATTAATATGTTGGCAAAATTAAATACATTTTCAAATGCCAGTATGCTAAATCATACAAAAAGGCAAATAGCAAATTGTTGCTTTATTAGAAAATGCATCCAAAACAAAGTAACACTACGCTGGCCACCTGCCCAAATCTGGAGACCACAGGATTTCAATTCATAGATGTGATCAAATGTGGGCGAGAGGGGGAGCGAGGGTTCTAAGCTAAGCTAAGACATCCGACCATGCTCAGTCTAACACAAGGCCACACCCCCAAGAGCTCAACCCCACTTTCTAGCCAACAAGAATGAGTCCCTGCCCCCCCCACTCCACCAACCCACCAACCAAGCAACCTCCCGCCCCCCTGCCATCTCCACTCCCTCATCATTGGCTGCTCCAGCTCTGATATGAGTTCCCTGAAGCCAAGAGTTGCTGGCTACTGGCTGGATGAGCTGCCTGTCCATCTACAAAGCCTGGCCAATGGGAATCCAGGCCATTCAGGAAAGGGTGGGGTACATTCCAGCAGGAAGCAGTGGCTGGGGGAGGGGTGCGAGTTCATGCTACACATTCTGTGAATCGGCACACATGGAAGGGAAGGGGAAACAGCCTAGGCCCACCCACCCACTACAGCTTATGAACACGCCACTACTCTCACCACTATTCTCTCGCTGTAGGGCTATACACCCTATGACCCATTGTCTTATCTACCTGATAAGATACATACAAGGCCTTTGCATCAAAAGATCCCTTTCTATTCTGTTCCTCCATTCTTCTAACCCCTCCCCCCTCCGGCAGAGAGAGAAACCTTCATGTCACCTTATGAGAAAGCAAACAGCTCACTCGCTACATGCTAGGAACATGGCTGGATCTGGAGCTGCAGTTGAGGGACATGCGTAGGCAAAGCGAGCCCACCATTACAAAACACTGAGTCCGTCCGTAGCCATTTGATCACCGTGAGTGAATCAGGCTGAAATCTAAAGCCATGTATTAAACTTTACAATCTTACAATTTGGAAAATGCTTAATTGTGCAATATAACAAAACAATTCTGATTAGGCTTAGTCTTTATGGAGCAGAAAATTTAATTCAACACTACAAGCACATGCTATAACAGCTTAACCTCTGCAATGGGGGAAAACAAAAAAAAAGTCACGTAAAGCTGTGCTTACTGGCACATGGGAATCCGCATGGAAGTTAAAAGTAGGATCTTGAGTTTGACAAATGATCTCTGAATAAAAGCTTTAGTGAAATTTGTCACACAACTTTAAAGTGTTGAAATTAAAGTACAGACAAATGTACGTGTGCCTAGCAGATCAGTATGTAATCAAAGCAGAATGTGGAGCCAACAATGAATACCAGAGAGTTTTAAATTAAATGCTTATCACATGCAGGGAAAGAAAGACATGCACGGACACACCACACACACACACGACTGTTGCTCAACACTTTTTTCACTAATCAGGCAGTGGCCATGACCATGTTACAGCTCACCATTTCTATTGATATTTATCATTTTTACATGACATCTTTTTGCCCTTTAACCCCATAGGGAAAACAAAAAAGGTTGCTTATATTTGAGATTTATATAAAAAAAAAAAAACCCTGAGCATCAGTTTTACTGCTTCAACTTTATATCCTATGTAGAAACCTAACCTTAAACATCTAAAGAACTTGTCCATGTTTCACTTATACAACCAAGGACAGTTTTGCATGATCAATTCTAACAAGGTTTTGTGAATAATTTGTCACAGAAAGAGTGTGTGTGTGTGTGTGTGTGTGTGTGTGTGTGTGTGTGTGTGTGTAATATCAAAAGGTTCACTTGCAGGTTTAACACAAGATCTAAAGTCAAATAATTCATGCAGTTTAAAAGTCACGTGTGTTGGAATAGTTGTGTGTACAACCCTTATTCTGAAGAAGATTTACAGCAAGGCATGAATTTGTATTTTGAATTTCTTCTTATAGTAAACATAATTGTAATCTGAAATTAAGTTTGTCAAATGTGTTATTTTTATTACAAATTAACCACTAAATGCTATATAATACGTTTCTCGGACACCACAAACTATATCCTTAAATTAAGATACAGTTTAATCTTACACATTTAAAACCTAATAGATTCATAGATTGTGTTTCACGCATGGCCACTGTATTGGATTGCATTAAATTGTACAGGTGCAGATTTTATTTTCTCAACCCACTGCATGTCAAGGAAACACTGACATATCACTTAAGTCCTGAACAACTAAATTGACATTCTAAAAATAAATATCCCATTAACCATATAAGGATATAAGATTTGCACACTCGAGTTGGCTAGGGGGCCACATAAAAGCCCTGCCACATGAATGTTTTACAAGCCTTCAGACAATACACTTAGTTTATTTTTATTTCATTTACACATTAGTTTTTTTTTTGCAAGAAAACGTGACGTGAAAAGGCATTCACTTTCAATCCAGCACATGTGATCAGTGTTGAAAGACACCATGACAGAACAATTAACTCATTTCCCATTTCTCCACATCAGCTCCTGTGTAGCCCAGGAATCAATTCAAACCAAACAAAGCTTTTTTCAATTGCTTTAAAAACATGCCTAGTAGGTAGCTGACCCATGTAGCAATATAATGCTGAAAAAATATCATGCAACTGCTTAAAAGTTCTTGTGTGACCCAGCCACATCACCTGGAAATCCGACTTTTGTGAAAGACTGAATCTTAAAGTCTTTAAAATGTCTTTAAGTTTTACAAATTCAACATTACAATCTTCATTATCACAATTCCAGTGGTACTTGCAATCATTTTGCTCCACCAATCACAGTTCCACCCACTGGTTGGTGCATTACACTAGCTTGAGCTGTGGCCTTGTTCAAACTAATCATCAAGCGCTTGCTCAATTGAAACCCCCCCCAAAAAAATAAAATAAAAATGGAGGCAAGGTGACTCCAGAGGCCACTATATGGGAGCCCAGTTAGGCTGCCCGATGGTGCCCCACCCTGGAAGCAGTTAGCAGCCTGTTAGCACTCACCTCCCACTGCATATGAGGGGGGATGTTCCTGATCTGTAGCTTACAGCTCCTGGAGAGAGAACAAGGAAGGAAGAGGGTGGGGGATGGATAAAGGAGGAGGGAGATAACAGAAATTGATGAAGGTAGATGGGAAGAGAGATGGAGAGAAGGGGGAGAAAGACAGTTAGTAGCTGACAATATCAAGGGCACAATGATACAAAAGGCAAAACAGACTAACAAAATAAAATAAAATATAAGCAGGTCTTTATTCCCTCCGCCATCTAGTGAGACAGACCAGGGTGGAGAAGCTGTGGATATGACTGTAGACTTCTGCTTTAATTCCATTCCCAACCCAGCAGGTGTATGGAGATACCCTGGATAAACATGGGAGGAAGTGATGGAGTAAAAGTGGGCAACAAGGGGGTGATTTGGAAAACAGCACTGGGTGGCCTAAATTAAGTTGAGGGTGCTTAAAATTAAAATTAAGCCAAAACACACCACGCCCTTTGTCCCAAATCATCAATTGTGTCACAGAGTGCGAAGAACAGAGTGGAAGAGAAACAGGACAAGTGAAGCGGCAGAAAGGAGTAGTAAGAGAGCGGAGGAAAAAAAAACAAGATACGCTATATCAGAATGTCTTGTCTATACTCTTTTGAGTCAAGCATGTGCCCTGTAGCATTGCATCATGAGGATTCAACTACTACAAGACTCAGCCCACTCTTTTCAACCAAAATAGACACTTATCCAGGAGCATCCAGCTGTTGTATTAAAAGGGGGGGGGGGGGGTGCAGGTGCCAGACAGAAACCAAAGGGAATCTCCGCTAGCAGCGTCACACTAAATGGGAAGAACCAAAATTGCATGCTTGTTCGTAAAGAACAGAAGCAAGTGAAGACTAGCAGTTACAATGGTGCTGCTGTGCTCCGTCACTAGAAACAACCAGGACAGACATCCCCGATTCATCCTTAAAGCTTGAAGGTTCGCCAATTTAGTTACAGTTTGTGTACAGCAGTACGAGTATACTGGCTATGTGTGGAGGTCATGTAGACAATGGAACTTGTGGATCAATGAGTCACAGAGTTTCACAAGTGTCCGCCTGCATGTGGATGTTTTATAAAAATGTGAGAAGAGTGCAGGCCACTCCAAAGTCCCCTGCCTGTTGACACGCACAAACCTAAAGGAACAAAATGTACATATGGCTGGGAGCTGAAGCATGAACACTCAGACAGCGTGGAAACAAACCCTGACCTCGACCCATTTCCACACTAGCCTTACACTCACTCTGCACATACCTGATACATGTGCAGCTAATTGTTTTATATAGTTTGTAAAAAATATATTCTGACGTCTGTAAAAACTTTACCCTAAAAAGTGTACCCACACACACACACACACACACACACCTCTCTCGTTCTTTTCCTCAAGCTTCACTGAGCTGTTAAATAACGTCTAAAATGCAGCTCATCTACTTGCTCCACTGCTAATGGCTGTTTTGTAATCTGCTGTGTAGAAGATAACACCTTACAACATGCAGCATTTATATACACTCTTTACACCATGAACTCAAATTTAAGGGGAAAAAGTGTGCAACAAAATATTTATTTTTTTTTATTTTTTTTTTTTTTTTTTTTAAATAGCACACAAGCACATCTACGTAGTAAAACATACTGCACATGTGCAATAAGGGCCACAGTAGTTTAAATTCCTCAGCTTTCCCACTACAACCATAATCAAGCCAACAGCAGTACAACAACATACTTAATTTGAGACATTGGGAAACTACTTAATTCTAAATGGGCAAATTTTAAAGAAAATTCCCAAATAACTTCCAAGAGGAATTCCAGCCCTTTCCGGCCCACTGTGCCATTCCTGGCTGATCCGGCCCCCCTCTCCCCTCACATTCTGTATGCTCTGCATTGCGGTGGGAAGGCCAAGCGAAATGTGCAAATGCACCAAGCACTTCCAGTCGGATTAACCTATAGCTCCACACACAGAAGAAGTCAGCCAGGGTATGGGATGGTGGGGGTTGGGGGGGGAGTGGTATACATTCCCTAGCCCCAGCCTTTGATTTTGGGAGGGGGGGAGGTGTGTGTGAGTGGGGTGTGGCGTATGGGGGGGAACTAGGGGACTAGCCCTGTTTCAGGCAAGGGTAACAAGGGCCCTCTCTGCCCTGTGGGGGTGGGGCCCTGTTGCCATGGACACGACCAAGTCCACTGACAGGAACATGTAGAGCAGGGTTAAAAGTGGGAGGGGGAGGGAAGGGCCAGGAGTGACTGGTTTGCTTGTCATGTGATGGCCAGGAGGAGGCCGGGCTCCTTATCTACTTTTAAAATGGACAAATATTCTACATGTTCTTTCGCCGCTCAACTCAGACCTATGGGCTTGCACCGTGGAGACACAAGTGGGTGTACAGACACTTATAGATGCAAGCATACACATGCATCTATAAAAAAATTAAAATAAAAAAAACCAGGATTTGCAAGTTAGCACCATGAGACTGGACCACACCTGTATTCATCTCCATTTCTTAATTGTTCACCCTGAAGCACTCTATGCCAACACCATCAGGGACAGTGTGGGACACACGAGCCTATCTACAGCCATTGACTATTCAGTATGCAGAGGTTCTGAATGACTGAACTCTACGCAGTCTGGTTTCCGCTGCCCTCTCACAGGCCTTATATGCACACTGTGCACCCAATAAATGACATTCAGCACTTGCGTTTGGATAGATTGGGTTTGGAATTCCTTCAGAGAATTCCAATGAGTTGAATATCAACAGTTAGAAATGACTCAACTTCTACAAAGACTATTATACATTCATGTCTACCTCCCCACCACACAGAAAATATGTTACATATGTTTACATACACACACACACAAAAACACAATAAGATTCTGATTTGAGCCTAGGAGGAGGGAGAGTTAAGGAACCATTGCCTGCAGTCTGGGTAAAACAAGGGGCCACATTCATAATTCTCTGGCACCCCAAGTCTCCGTCCCAAATCCCCGCTTTTGCAGGTGGGGCCCCACAGTGACCCCATGACCCAGAATTCTTGTAATAAGAGCCAGGAGCCATTTCTACTAACAGCACTGATACGATCTACACTATTGTCTGAATTTATAGAAGTTCTTTTAATGCTTTGGTTTAAAAAAATAAAATAACAAAAACACGAAGACAAAGGCAAGGAGGCTGAAACTTGACACCATTCACTGAGAACATTTGCTACGCTACATATGTCGTAAAATAAGTCAAAGTTATACCCTCTCGTTCTCTCACGCGCACACACACACAGTTGGGACCACCTTTCCTATAGCCATGCCATTTTTTCTCTCTCTCTCTCTCTCTCTCTCTCTAATATGTGACTAAGCAGCTCTGTGCATGTGGGGATGGGCATGCTACGTTTAATGTGTTTAATATTTTCAACAAGAGGAGCATAGCCTGACCCCGGAAGTCAATTCAGAGTGTACACAATAACGACACCGCTGCAACTCAGTTTGCCTTATAATTAAAGGGTGAAATTGAATATTTTGAATGAAAAAAAAAAAAAAAAAAAAAAAAAAGCCAAAACAGCTCAATTAGTAACTTTGCAAAAACTACAATTTATGCAGCCCCATTTGCACTAACAAGCAATTCACGCTGGGTCAAAAGAGAAAATATGAAAGCTATTTTAAACAGTTACGTCAATTGTGGAAAATAAGGCTGTTTTACTAAAATGTAAATACACCTGTAAGATTCTGATTAATACCTGATTTCCTATTGTACAATTTACATGCTTTGAGAATAAAAAAATATAAGAGTGTAAGACATCATCAAGGAAGTGTGGGTGTCATCTTTAAATGCCAGGGAAAAAAAAAAGCCAAGAACAAAACATTTTCAGAGTGAAAAAAAAAAGTGATGTAAATACCCATAAGGTGGCTGAAAGGTCCAGTAACTATGTGAAAAATACAATGTACCTGTGCACATTTTGTTTTCAATTAAGTGAATTATGTTGTGTTGTGTTGTACACAATACATTTTCAGGAGTCACAATTGAACTCAATGTTTTGATAATGCACTGGAGATAATTTTAGTGGGCTACTGGCCACAACTGTGACAAATTCAGAGGAATGTACTTCAAAATATTTGATTACATGATGTATTTTGGCCAATGCGAAACACCACACTCCATAGCACGTCTCCACACAATGTTTTATCGTTATGAGCCCCAAACTGCAGCCACCCCACCTTGATCTGTGTCTGCTACAGCACTTCCCCTTCCTGACGGGGTTCAAAGGTTAAGCCATGGTGATTGGCCGAGCCCCCAGTTGATATTTGCAGGTTGGAATGCAAAGAGGGGCCCCCAGTGTACAAGTGTGTGTTGTGTGGCTGTACTCAGAATACTGTTCCCATTGACTACTGCTATGTTCCATGTTGTAAAGGGAGGGCACGTTTTTTACTTTTTTGAAGTGTGGCTGAAACTCGACTCTGTTTGCTGCCATAGCCAACACAGCAGGCTGCACCAAGAGACAGAGCAACGTCACCAGTTTTTCGTGATCTGGGAAAAAATTGGAGGAAGGTCTGAGGATATTGAAGCAACATTCCCACATAGCTCACCTGGATTATTTATCCAAGCTACAATTTTAGACCACCAGCCTACCAGCTGCAGGGGAACGCTTGTATGACCTTCAGCTGGAAAATACATTTCACGTCAAGATGTCAAAAAAAAAATTCCACGCTTGATCCACATTCACGTCTAAGCACTTTCTAAAAATCAATTCACGCCACGTACAATAGTTTTAAAATGCCTACGTTTCACCTCGACTTTTATTTAAAAATGTGGGTTGTTACTTTGCGTAGAAAACAGCACATCATTCAATCAAACTTTGAAGAGACCAAACCATGCATATTACGTGTAATGCCTCATAGAAACCCTTACAACAATTACCAAGCAAGAGCCATTTTAAAATTCAATTCAAGAAAAAAAAAAAAAAAGGATTAATTATGACCGAAATGCGTCACCACCAAAAAATAACGCACACACTGCAAGAAAAGCCCCAGTATTTTACGTCCTCAGCACATGTCACGTAGACCCTTACAGAAAATATTTATGGTACACTTTATGGAAATCATCCACTGAAACACGACAGCCCAGTATGGCTACGGGGGTCGAACTCTAAAACTAAGGTTTTCCGTGACTTGGGCCCCAAACCTCCCATTCTACTCGCGTTTGGGAGTCCATCTCATGCAACAGCAGCACAATGTGCAGAGGAGGGCGGAAGCGCAGGGCAGGCAGGGAGAATGACGGGCAGATCCTTCTCAAATGGACGACTCCACAAGGCCTGCACGCCTCAAATCCAGCCTGCACTCACTCTTTTTGCACACATTTCAGCCAGAGCACACACACACACACCATGGCTTTGACTAATCGCCCTGAGGTTGGAGCTCACATAATATCATGTACTGTACGTACACAAAAAAAAAAAAAAATACTAGTGGAAAATACAAGGCATGTGCTGGTTAAACCCGAATGCACGACGGTTTTTTAAGGAGCACCCCACAGTCATGGCGAGAGGAGGGAGTACACCACCATACGCCCCTTTCATTTGACCCCAGAGCATTCAGGAGAAAAAAAATAGACACCTAATTTACATAGTATGCTCATTTAACCAAAATGAAAATAGTCAAACCACTGAATTAATACTCAACAGTAAAATAAACGCATATTCCCGGCAGATATCACTTGCTAAAATAAAATAAAAAGGGCTTCTTGTAGAAGACAGCTAGAGGAATTAAAAAAAAAAGGAGCTCCCACGAGTTGAACCAAGCACTATATTATAAAACTCGACCTACCTTTGACGTTTAGGGACCGAGTGCTCCACTTCGAGAACTTTCCCATGAAGTTCAACTTTACCTAAAAAAAAAAATAAAAAAAATACGTAACTATTAATTTCATTTATCCTTTGACCTCCTGAAACAGGCCCCCCCTTTCTTGCTTTTGGACGTGTGTTCAGAGTTTACTGCTCATTTTATACAGTGGACTGAAATCTAAACAGGCATTATGTAGCCTACACATGGCATCGCCCTGGATATTTTTCCAGCATATAGTGTGACATTAGCTACACAAAATGCTTAAAGTGTGCGAGCCACTAATAGCACGAGGACACAAATGAGCCAGACGTGAGCACAATTCGTAAAAAATTACACGAGTTTAGCTACATTGTTACGTGTCCGGCGTGAGCAGGGCTAACTTGTATTTAATAACAAACCAGGAGACGAAGTGAATAATGTACTAAAGCAAATGGTCGTGTGGTTGTTAGTTGGCCTACATTTGACCAACACAATTAAACCACCTGGTGTGTCAGCATGGACGAAATGGCTTCACAATGTAGCGAGTTGTTGCCAGTGGAGAAGGCCTACAGTTTGAAACCTGGATAAGAGTGCAAGTTCAAATTGAAACTGTTTTTTAAAAAAAAGCAAGCAACACACTAAGGCCTCTGCTCCTTATCGTGCCAAAGTGGTCTGTGTGATAGAGCCCACAATAAGGTTCACTTCACGGCGTCCACAGCCCCGGCTGCCTATGCGCCCCACTACCCTGAACGCTACACAACCTGCTTTAGGAAAGCCTCAGTGTTTTCACATCCCTCTGGTTGTGTTTACTCGACCGTTTTATCAAGCTACACTTAGTGATATTACAAGAGCAGTATTTCACTCAAACCCTGGGCATCTATTTGCCTGAGCCCACGGTGTCAAAAGGCCAAGTAAAGGTTGTGTGAGAGAAAGAAATGCTTGGATACACCCCCACCCTACCGGGCTCAAGTAAAGGCAACCTTCACACAATTGCAGCAGTTGGTGCGCCTTTCCAAATACCACTTTTTTTGCCCCAGAATTTCTCACCTGAAAGAACATCGATGGCCTTCATCGCAGCCTTCTCGTCCGGGCAATCCACAAACGCATAGCCAGTTTTGACAAGAAATGGACCACTGTGCGGAATCTTCCACTGCTCAAAGATAGTTTCGAAGTCCTCCTCGCTCGCCTCAGCGCTCACGTTGCCAATGTATAGCTTATTCATGTTCTGCGCCGAAAAGGGACAATCTTTACGCTGAGGGAGAGATAGTTATTTGCGCTCACGGATGTGCAGTGTTTGGAGTAGCCTAAATCGCCTTTACTACTACGGAGTGGCTGTGGCGTGCTTCCCGGTCGTTCAAGCCACAGATAGATTTAACGTTAAACTGGCAGCCTCACAGTGCGTTTGCTCTCCCTCGCCCCTCTGTCTCTATCGCGCAATAAATAAATGCTCAATTATTAATCTCGTGTCTCCAAACGATGGCGGGCTGGGTGAAAAGGAGGAGAAACTACTTTGTGTCTTCCTCCAAACCCCTTGGCAAAGAGACAGAGAATGTCACACACGGTAAGGCTGGCGCCCGCCTCTAAGTCTAGAGCCTAGAATAAGAAGAAGAAGAAGAAGAAGGGGGAGAAAAAAATCCTCTGCTATTCCGGCTTTTTTGAATGAGCCACGTGTTCAAACTACAAATCAGCCCACACGTGAGGAATCCCAATTGCTCAATTAAGTGTTTGGGATTGGGGAAAATTGCACGGGAATCTGGGGTGGGGACAGCAGAGGGGAGTGGAGAAAAAAGGAGGGGAAGAGTGGATTGGCGTTGGGAAAAAAAAAACTGGCGAGCTATGTGCGTAAAGGGATTCCGTGAGAACCCAGTGTATCTTTACTAGAATCACATTCGTGTGCCTTTCTCTGCAAAGCCTCGATTCTCATTGGCCGGCTGCGTAATAGTAAAAACGGCAGTGCGCTCGCGCACGCCCATAGCAGGGAGACGCTGATATTGCGGGGGCTTGTGCGCACGGCTGTGCTAAGTGCGCTGTACTGATGACACAGTAGGAGGAAAAGGGGGAGGGGCCATTCATAAATGATGTTGAACTATATTGTTAAATTGCATACTGGACACATTTAACTTGAAGAATCTTGACTAGGGAGGGCCCAGAGCAGCCCATTGGGCCCTCGTGCAATATGGGAATGACACGTACTACTATCCGCATGACGGCATCCATCTTCTCCAACTAGAGTGGTGCCATGCCCTTGCTGATCCACAATTCAAAGTCCAACAGCAGGCCCGACTCGTCCGTGGACTCACAAATTGACAATGAGGGGGTATTTGGGGGAGGAGAGAGTCGCCACGCCACTTGTTTTTACCAACTTTCAGACCGTTTGGCACACTGGGAAAAGCCTTGGCCATGTGGAGCGAATGCACATGGCGAATCCTCTCTGCTATACCTCCGGCATGGACTTGCATGTATTCAAAGAGGGAGGGGTCTCCTACACTAAAGTGCCCCTAGCGTCCTATGTAACGCACAGCTCAGTTCAATCACGTGTGGAATACATGTCTAAAATATTACACAACGGTCAATAAGAAGATTTGTAAATCATAGGCGAAGGCCGATAGTTTAGGTTGTGGGTCACTCTGCAGAGAATGGTCGTGTTTACAGGACCGACGGGTGGTTGAATCTATACCTGTTGATGGCACAAAGGTCGCTATACCACTGTCAGCAGAGCTTGTTTGAGTTTTTCAACAAGGATCCTAAAGTCAAAATGTACACACAGTGTCATTAGATCAGATCTGACAGTTGATTTGTGAAACTAATACATACATTAATACATTTTACACTATCTATCTATCTATTATATTAGACTGCAATAGTTTAGTGTCACAAACAGTAACACTTAAACATCCACTTACTTCCATTGTGGATTATATTTTTACAGTTTAAAGCGCACGCCATTTTTAACGTAGCCTACATATCAGCATGCATTGTCGCTGTCAGTATAAATCCTACACGCTGTATATACTGTATACAGACATGTTTACATGCATTTGCATATGAACTAGAGTCAGTGGTAGTACAGTTCCTTGTAGACTATTTGGCTAATGAAGCTAATTCTAATTTTGAATTCTTTACACAATTTGTATTGTTTACAATTTACAAAAACCCTTGATTTGTATAAAGACATGTTATTTTATATTGTGATCATTTGTGCTTTATATATGTATATGTATAGAACATTTTAATTTTCATTGTGTAGGCTACATAATAGCCATGTCTACTATTTGTTTAGCTTTGCTGTCCATGTTCTTAGCTGCTACATATATTTCTGTGTAAGTACATTGAGAGCAATGGAAAAACCGGAGTCAAATTCCTTGCGTGCATATGCACTCGGCCAATAAGGCTGATTCTGATTAGTTTTAGATATGTGTACTTAAAAAACTAACTTGGTGTACCTCTTTATACTTTGCATAGTCATAATATTCAAAGTTCAACTTAAATCTCAACTTCCTGAGACAATCCTGAGGATTCAGGCTACACACATGTTTACATTATGCTCAATACACAGCACATTTGATAGTATAATTTGAGGTATGAGATATGTGCCAGACAGTTTTACCTGGATCATGTGGGCATACATAAGGGCATCATTTAATTCCTTTAATTATGTTATATGAGTTGTTCAATATGATTTATGTGTGAAAAAATGTAAAACTAAAATTGAATTAACAATGTAATAGTTACAATGTAAAGTTACATAATAGCATTACCTTAACTTTCAATGTCCCTGTAACTGTCTGTTTTTCATTGAACTTATATCATTTGTCATTTAGCCTTTAAACATTTGAATGTTCTAAAGTTGGTCAAACTGTATTTCACCAGGGGAAAAAGTGTTGGAAAAGTTTAGGTGGGTGTAACCTCCACTGCAGCCCTGCAATTGCCAGTGCAAAGAGCCATGCTTTGAGCTGAAATGATAGCACTGTGTTCCTGCAGTGTTTGCTAATGAATAGGCCTAGGTGTGCATGCTCATGTATAGCAGATTACAAAGGGAGTGTTGGTTTAGTGGGCCCTTCAGCCACTGGCTCAGACTGGGGCCATGGCTGTCTCAGTGGGTTTACTCCTCTGCTGCTGAGCAAACACACAAAGCTCTCTGATTGGTCGGGAGCGCCGTCCAATCAGGGCACCGCAGAGCCGCTCCGTACTACTGCTGCTGGCTCGGCCTCAACGCGCTCATTCATTGGCTCCTCGGCTCGACTATTCTATATGAATCAGCGCGCCAATTATGCATTTCTCCCCATGTTTCCTCTGCTGGGCTTTGTCATAAGCTATAAAGATGTAACGAAACACGAGGCTGTGGCCAGATCCGCGGCACTTTTTCACGACTGTTCTCAACTTTTCAGGAACTTTAGGCTGTGTTTACATTCATGGAGCACTCATTTAAACAGGTTAAATGAAAAGAGAATAAAAGAGAGCGTTTAAAATTCGCTTTTAGTGAACGTCCTGCTAACTTTTAATCGTCTTATAATTTGTTTCAAGTTTCAACTCCCCAAAAGTTTCTTAATAACTTTCCCCTGAGTGGTTAGATGCATATATTCCTTCTGTATGGACCAATATAAGGGATTTATTAAACCTGGGCGCTTTTCGCTGGCCTAGTTAGGCTCATACAATTTTTTATAACCTAGTTTATTTGGCTTTAATGATTTCCACTGCAAATGAAATAACGAAACGCACACGCAGGAACTCAGTGTGAATGTGCCCTGCCTGCAGGAGACCGCCTTACAGATGCTATATTTGCGGACTAAACGTATGGAGAAGGCAGTCATGTGAGCGCTCGCCGCTTTTTTTGTCAGTTTAAATGAACTGATGCATGGCTGCAGCCTGTCTGCGTGTGTGGCTGCAGGCTCTGCAGGAGGAGTAGTGAATGTATCGCTGAGGAATGTACAGAAAGTCTCCCCGCCCCCAGTTTCAGGACTCCTCGGCTATGGACAAATTCCATAGGGGGCAAACTGACATAAAGTTTCAGACTAGACTGCATCCTATGTGGGAAGATTTGCTGCGGTTAATGTCAGTGCAGGAAAAAGAACTGACAAAATCGATCTGGTTAAACATAGTCTGGGATATTTCTAGAGAGAGAGAGAGAGAAAGGGAGAGGAGAGGGGAGGTAGATTGTTTAAGTAAAACGCAGCTTATAGCCCAACTTTGAGCTGCTGGCCTCACTCCAAGGTGTAGATAGTCTACGTCGCAAAGCGCAAGGCTCTTTTTACAAACCCCTTTAGGCTACACTGAATCAAGGGATTCTGTTTTCCGGGTGAGATTGCTTTATTTTTTTATTTGTTGTAAGGCGATTCAAATCTTTTAACAATGTTTTCTTTCCACTTGAGTTGTAACCATTAAATCCACTGGCTGACCGCTTCGGACAGAGTCAGGGAACACTGTGCTGAACGCCATGTTGAGGAGAATCTAGAGCCTCACAGTAACATTAACTGATGGGAACAATATCCTTATCGATGTTAATGCAAGTCTTTTTTTTTTTTTCTTAATCCAGACATATGTTTTCTGTTTACATCAAGGGGTTACATGCAGGCTCCACAAACCCCCCAAAATGATGTGTTTTCTCCACTGATTCTCCTGTGCTGTGACACCTTTCATCTCATTAGAAAATGGCGGTTTGTGCCCCCTTCAAAACACATCATGCCAAGGAACATTTTCTTTTTTAACAGTAAATAACGAGTTAATGCTCACTGGTAAAATGTGGAAATGGTAAATATATTCAAGCTTATATCTGTGTTATTTTTAAAAGAATAATAGCATTAAAGAAACATGTGGCTTTTCTCGTTTTCTCGTCACTTTCATTTTTTTTTTTTCAAACAAAAGCCAAATCCTGGAAATTAGTATGTAAAAGTGAACTCAATCTGCACCAACAGTTACACTAAAGATTCTATAAATGTGAGTGTATTTTTTTAAGCAAATAATTGGTTATCTTGTTTTGTTAAAAACAACTGAAAAAGCTCTTTATAGCAGCCAAACATAGCTACCGTCATACTATTGTTTTGTTTCACAAGTGGCAATAACTATCTCTACGTTTTTAATGAAATATTTGTTTGATAGCAGGTCATTTGGTTGAAATTCTGCACACACTGCCTTTCAATGTCTGCATAGCGTGTGACAGAAATAGCTTGAAATTCTTATTTCTTTTTCTTTTTCATTATTTCAACAAAACTATAGATTTTTTGTAATAAACATCTGTTGATTGTTGTATTTTTTGTGAACTTAAGATCTGTGCTTTTCTTTGTTGTTGCTGAGCATTTGATCAGATTAACACCACATGTTCATCCAGCACAAAAGCCTGATGAAAGTGGGTGTTTTCACGCACAGGCACATGCATATTTGCAGAGTTTGTCACACATTGCTAGCTATACTGTATGGCCAGGCTTTGGCATGTAGCTTTGTCTCTCTTATAGGAATACATCCCTTCTGGCTGCTGTTGTTTACTGGTTTCAGCACCCTGATTGATTAGTTGCACTGTGATTTGGTGTTGAGAAAATCTCTTTGAAACCACTCAAAAGCAATCAATTTCTTCAATATCTTCTTGTCTAAAAGAAGAGAGACACATGTTGGGCTTCAAGTTTTCACACTTGTAATTTTACATTAGATTATGTTCATTGCAAAATAAAGTGCATGGTTTGTTGAATGTGGAATATAATACACTGTATATTCTCTCAGGTGGCAAAGCAAATTCTTGTTTAAAAATATAGTTGTTATTTACTGTATGTTAATATTGACTTGAGGTAAAAGTATTGGAGGTAATCATCCACCCCCTTGATGATTTTGGTAATTAATTTCAGTATAGAAATATACAATATTTGGTGCGGTTTTAACAGGGTTTGTGAACCACAAACATTTTCAAATACATAATAGTTTCAACTTTTCCACTGTCCAATTGTCACTTGTATTAAAATCTGAGGTGAGCATATATGCAAACCATTGATCCCAAGTTTTAAACAGTTTTAAATTGATAATGAAATATTTTATTATGTTGATATAAACTAGCCTACAGTTGGAAAAGAAAAACAATACAAACACATTTATGGCACCGTAAAGAACTGTTTGTTAGTTGAATTTGGACACATTTATTTAAGATATAAACAGATAAATGCATTCAACCCCTAAAAATGTCATTTCCAGAAAACATCTTCCACTGAGCAAGATCAAAAACTTTAGATAAACCTTAAAATAAAATGATAAAAAAGGGTCAGATTATATTTCTTTTGGACATCTGTATCATCAATGTCCCTGACTGATAAGTAAGATAATCAGCATGTTCTGGTGGAATAGCAAACAGTTGTTAATGTTTGTTGTTCCAAGTTGAGCCTCATGTTAACTGCTCAGACGTGAAGAACTCAAAAGGTGGGGAACTGAAGCTTTCACCCCCCACCAGCCATCCTGTGTTCAAACCATATAGAAAACATGAACATGCTGTTGCCTGTTAACCTTCAGACATAATCCTGTACGTTAGGAGTGCTCAGTTTTATTCTGTATCACAAATACATTATGTAAAAGCTACATGTTTGGTTCTGTATTATTAAACCTCTATAGTACAACTTCATGATAAAGCTGATGGAAAACTGAGAACATTTGTAGTAGTATTATATATTATATAGAATCAGAATGCACTGTGTGTGTCTGGAGTGCCACATTGATTTCATCTTTTCTTTTTCGTGAAATAGGCGTGGACTGCTTCTTCCAAGCAAATAGTTTAAATTACTCTTAATATTCTCCTCTCTCTGAACCAGAAACTATATATATATGCCTATCTTTTATGAATATTTGTGCTGAGGTTCTATAGGTGAGAGGTGGCTGCATTGAATCCTATTATTGTGAAACTACCCATCTAACCATTCTGTCCCCTACTGGTCAACCTGTTGGTAGATGTCTCCCTGCCATGACACCTGTGAAATTGTACAATTTCAGTGAAGAAAAATAAATTCATATATCACCACACAACCTCCCGTGTAACCATAAAATCAAGTGAACTGTCTGCATTTTCTTTAATCTGCACCTCTTCTCTACCATGTAAAACTGCTAAGATGATGCTGCACTAGACTATGAATTAGTAGGCAATAAATATTCTTTTGATTTACTTATTTTATTACACAAACCTACGCAAGAAAACTGTGAAGGAAAAGCAGCGACTATAGTTCACTCACTGCTAAAATCTAAGGTGAAAATTAGCACAAACGTATACAATAGACATGTGACTATGGCTTTGAGTGCTGAATCTTTATTGAGAAAGACTTCATACTTTGACCCTTGTAGCCTTCCAGTTGGTGGTTACCTTGGAACCTTCAGAATTAACTTTGAGTCAGTGTGAATGAACGCAGAGCTCTGAGGGGCCCCATGACATGTCAGCAGTGATTATTAACCCCATTTGAATGAAATGTCTTATTGAGGCTAAGGTCTACAGATAAAGAGCCCTCCATTCTTTCCGGTTTACTTTTATGATTAGCCACTCGGTTTCAAGATGTTGTTCGTCCCAGCCAAGTCAAATGTCTAAACCTGTATCTTACTTGGGAATCATGTTGTGTTGATGCAATTTGTTTTCTTTAATGCAGGAAAATGTGATTGATTGATTTTATGCAGAACACAGTTTGCCATCTTCTATCATTGTTTTATAATGTAAAGCGGACATTTGGTTACTTTAAGTAAGAAAATGTAATATAGTTAAGATGAGGTAGGTCAGTCACATGAAAGTGAAGATGTTACTGCATTTTCATGTGCACCATAGTAACTCATTTTGAGTACCCCTTTTGTTGTAACTGAATGTTCTGACCAACATGTCTCTGAACAGTGTACAGTCACAGAATACTCTGAATAATAGTCTGTTTTCTCACATGTGAACTTTGTATCTTATGTAATGAAAGCCACCCAATAAAAGTTTGGTAAAAGTCCTTCTTTGCATGTTTTCATTGGTGTAACCTGAATGAGAGAAAAACTAAACTATTGGAGAATCTATTGTGGTTTCAAAGAGTGGCTCCAGATCAACTACTTTAAATTTGTGTGAACATAAAACTTGTCAGGCACAACATCTTGGCACTGGTCTCATTCTGTGAAACTCTCCCAGCTTGATTTCCCACCTCACCCACTCAACTTAAAGTATTAACTCCCACCTATACAACTAAAACTCAACTTTAATTTCATGCACATTAAGTCAGAAAAACACATTACAAACTTTGGAGTTTTCATATATTTGTATTTCGATACAAAGAAACAACAATAAAAAATGTAATACATGATAATAAAACTCTCTGGAGAAACTCAAATGATGACTCCCTTGACTAAAAAAAAACCCCAAAACCAAACAAAAAAAGACAAGAGGCCCTGTTTACACCTGGCATTAACATGTGCCCTGGGTCATCCAATCACAAGTGGACACCTAAGTACAGGTGTGAATGCACCCAAGACACATTGAGGACACATTAAGATTCAGCCACACACCCAGACCACATTTGGAGGTGGTCTGGACTGCCTATGGCCACATTTTTATTTTAGCAATACGTACATAAATGTTTCCTGGGCTACATTGCAGGACTGTCTACTGAACTGACATTCTCTGCGTAAGAGGAAGTACATATTCATTCGCATGCCAATGGCGTCATATTAGAGTGAGAAACGAGAAGCCACAACAGGCAAAATGGATTCTTGTGGACGGAGTACACATAAAACACACTGTCTGATTAACATTAGGGCCGAAGAGTCAGTACAAAGAACAAAACAAGTCTTGGCAAACTTCCTGCAGACCAGGCACAGGAAGTGCATTACTGCCTCCCACTGGCTGAAACAACGCATTTCATTATTGCAAACTCAAATGATGTACGCGTTTATTTACATATAGAGCGGGAAAGGGAGATCCGATCACAAGTGGTCCCTCAAGACGTATTTGTAAAGCCAGGAGTGAACTGGCGTACTTGGAGCTGTCCACTTGTGATTAGATCACCCAAGATGCATGTTAATGCCAGGTGTCAATAGGGCCTGAATGTGAGCAGAGAGCCAACCACTGATTGCTGGGAACACTTCTTTTTACAGCCCAATTTACCTGCTACTTACCAATAAACTCAGTAAGTGCAAGGTAACATTGAGATTAATCTGTTATCTTTACTGTACAACCAGAGAGTGTATTCCTATGTATGTAATACAGGTTGTAAAATTAAGTGTCATCATCATTTACTAAAACCCAGTTCTTTCCCCAAGATTACAAGGGTCATGTTTACATTGATCAGTGCAATAAATTTCATAAACCATCACTTAATAGGAAAAAAGGTATCAATGCTGCAGAAAATGAAGAGGAAAGGAAGGTAGTCCAAGAATGAGAAACAGTGACCAACAGCTGAGTTCTCTGCTCACACTCAACATCTGCAACACAGATGCATTAAAACGTCTAAAAATTAAGACATCTATTGCATGTAAACAGGAACTATCTCAAACTTAAGAGTTCTGTTGATATAGTCATGCTAATTCAAAATGTTCCCCTCAGAAACACCTCGATGAATCACACACCCATCAATTATTGGAGGGAAGCTGAACGTCGGAAGAAACAACTTAGTATCGCCCTGCAAAATGAAAATGACATTTCTGTTAGTCCAGTTATTACATTACATTGAAGTTAGTAAATTACTAATTAAACAAATCTGCTTTCACCAGTGATCAAGATACACAAATATGTTCAAATATGCATTTTAACAGCAGTCTGATTTCATGTCTGAAGATGATACAATAGATACAGTTAGGCAATCTTTTTATTGTATGCATTTCTCTTCACACTTACGTGGGCTG